ATATAATCACTGACATAACATTCAAACCTTAAGAAACAAATTTCTAACATTAAAATAATATTAATATATTTACAAAAATAATTCAAAACAGTAAATTCATTTTTGAAATCATTAAATTACTTATGATTTATATTAAATCACATATTTTTCCAATTTAATTTTTATGATAATAATTTGAAAATATTAAAATTGTTTGAGGAGTCTGTTTTTGGAAACTTTTTATCATACACATAATTTATTTATAGCAGCTAATCATGAGAATAAATTAAAAATAAGCTACTATGGAGGAACAAATGTGTCATTTATTTTGAATTGTTAATATTTTTTTTAACCATGATAACCATTGACAATCATATTTACTGTAATAATTAAACATGCAATTAATTGGGCAGTGATACTTGCATATTGTGATGCAAATACACATTTTTCTACTATATGTGTAATAATACTTCTGTTCTGTAATAATAGAATGTATTATTTCTGTATATATAATAAAATCAGTTTATATATGAGAACAATAAATTTATTTTATGAGCAGTTTTAGAGTGATTACTAATGTCATACGTATGTATGTACAACTATCTCGTGTGTAAATACTCATTAAAAATAAACACATGCACACACATATATATATTATTTCTAATGGCAGAGGAGATTGACACAGGATAGAAATAACACAACTCAAAAGAACAAGAATATAAAAGTTAAAAGTCAGTTCATCGTTCGACACCTTGTTTCCCAGTATTGGTCAGCGATAATTGCTCCATGTAGAGTAATTATGTTATGTATATTGTAAAAATAAATATACTTGTCTCTATATAAAAACAAAAAGCATACTCAGCAACTTAACAAAATAATTTAATAAAAAACAATATTTTGTAATATATGATACACTGTAATTTTACTTAATGGCACATTGACATTATTCTTCCTTTGTTGTAAATTTTAATAGAAATGAAATATAAAATATTCAAGACCTTCTCAAAATACATTTCAAAAATAATTATTTCTAGACAATTCCTTATTTTTAAAAATAATGAAAATGTAAAACAGTTTCTAACTACTATGATGGTTTTGAAATAAAGAATAGATGACAGAATTTTTTAAATAATAACTTTGACGATGATCACAAATTTATTTACGATGAATTGGATTTTCTTCTTCTTTTGAATAGGTTAACAATCCATGTGCAACCATTCTTGACCAACAACTGTAAAACATATTACATTAATTTCTGAACTAAAGATAGGATTAAAGTATACAGAAATCCATGCTCTATGGTTAATAAACAAAGAACTAAAAAAAAAAAAATAATAATAAATAATTGATGTAAAGATTTTCCTGCCTTAGGAATAGTCCCATAATCAGAGTTTTCCTCTTGCAACATAATACAAATTAATTTGATTAAAAAAAATTATTCACAGTAAAGTGTTAGTCTTGAAGGTCATAAGTTGTTGAAAAATAATTAAGGTCAACAAGGATCTTAAAAGAGAAGGCAGAACAGATAACACTACAAAAAGTCACATTTAGTCAGAAGTCTTAAATTGGCAGTGACCACATGTCTGGGAATTCAAATACTCCTAACATGAAAGTGTTTGTTGATAAAAATATACTCTAAATATAAACAGGTAATTCTGTGCAAATAGTTTAAAATGAAGAATATTTTAGTTGTTCAATACATAGTTTAAAGATGTCTTTATATTATCTCATACATTTGAGGCATGATTTGAAATATAAATGTTTTTATTGATTTTTTAAACCTATGAAATCCCATTCCCAATTCTTACCACATACAAATATAAAAACCATTTTTTCTCACTGAAGTACCTATACTTTTTTAGTTCAACTTTTAAAATTAATACTTGTAGTGTAATCTCTATGTAACAGTAACAAGTTAATTTTTTGGTCTTTTAAATGGACTTTTTATTTAACAAAAACGATAGAAATTTTTTTAGTCCTATCAATACCTTACTCATAGTGATTCAGATATTTTAGATAGATGGCATTATTTGCAGTGTTGTAGTGCTAAAAAATTCAAGCTTTCATAAGTTTAGGGGGGGGGGTGTAAAAAAAACTTTACTATAATGTTACTAAAAAACAGCATTTTCTAGCACATGTACTAATGGAACACTGGAAAATGATCAAATCCTATAAGCCATGTATGTAACTGTACACATTTTGATCATTTCAGACACCTTTAAAATAATCCTCAAAAATAAAGTAAAATTCTATAAATTTTTTATTCATTAACAATTTTTTTTTTTTTCTTTGTGCACATAAATCGATACTTAAGCAATGGAAAAACAAAACACTATTTAAATCTTAAGTATCACTATTGTATAAGGTAACTTAAAAATATTAAAGCCTGTTTGATTGTCAGAGGAAAATGAGATAAGATTAAAGGAGATAACACCGTGAAGACATACATTCCATTCCCTTAAAAGTTTTTAAGATATATCGAAATAAGCGAAAAGTGAAATTAAAATTACTGATATCCTAACTAAGCTATCGGGACTAAATATTCTAAATTGCAACCCTTTGTATACTATGGAAATGAGGAATTAGTATGTCATGATTTGCCATAGCGACGGCCACTAGATATAGCTTCCTGGGCAACTTTGGTGGTCAGGGGTGCCACGAACTAAAATTTTTGGAAGGGGGAAAATTCTCATTTTGTCGAATATTTTCATAATATCATAGCTGCCAACCCTTCTGCATTTTGCAGAAGCTTTCTGCATTTTTACTTATTTCAGCTATTTTTTCCTCTTTTATGCGCAGAAGATAAGATCTTCTGCATTTTGCCCATCTGCCTGATAGCTAGTATTTTCTTTAAGTCAGACGTCGCTGTTCCTCTTGTAACAGCGTTTGGCAGGGATGAACTACATTTTTAATCGAATATTGTACCATCAAGTAGCTGATCGAAAGTTTTTTTAAAAGATATTTCCTTTTTTGTTTTAAAAAAAGATGAGTATTGCTTTTTTTTGTTGCTAATATTAAGTGGATTTATAAATAAATAATTAATTAAAATCCGCTTCTTTTATAAATTTATTGGTAATTAGTATGTGCCTGCAAATCTTCTGCATTTTTAGGCATTTCTTCTGCATTTTTTTGTCTATCTTCTGCATTTTTATAACTAGAGGTTGGCAGCTATGTAATATGTTAATTTTTGCTGTAATACTGACCGATTTAACAATTTTATGCTTAATTATACTGATGAAAAAGTTGTGATAGCTCAGAGGTTAAGACACTGAACTGTTATTGTGAAGTCAGTGCCTCAGTGATGGCATGAAGCTTGTGACTGACATATGCATAATGCCGACCACACTGCCACAATCAGACCATAGGTCATGAAATTGTGGAATCTTAACCTTCACGATCTCACTGGCTCGCAATGGGTTGTAAGGGGATTGTTTTTCTTTTATTAAAAATCAATGAAAGAAATAATGAAGTATTTGATACATAAATATAAAAAATTAATATATAAAATGGAGAAATAATTTTTCACAATCCCATAAATCGTATAGTAAATAATTTTGAGATGGAATACTGAAAAGAAATGAAATATTCAGAAAATGGACCACTTGTTGTATCACCTGCAACCAAACAAATAAAAATTCAAATCGGAAGAAGTCAAATTGACTCGTTTACTTTTTACATGGTAATAAAGACTTTAAAATGCAAGCTGGAGGAAAAATTTTAAATCCACAATATATGTTTAAAAATTCGAATTATAAAGATTTAAATTGAAAAATAATTCCTCTGAAGGAGAGAAAAGGGTAGTCTAACGTCACAAACGACAAATCATATGAGGGATAAAGGAAAGGAAGGCACAAAAGTTAAAGAGAAAGAACGAATAAAAGAATTTGCGATATTAGTTTAGATAAATATTAACATCGAGTCCCCTAATTATATTTGCTGTTTTTAATGAAAGGTTTTTGTTCTTCACAAAAGATGGAAAATGAGCTAAAAAGAAGATAATCAAAACTAGGTTTCAGAGGAAAGCGAGTATGTACTTAAATATAAACTTTTTTTTTGGCTTTGTTTTTTTTATTTCAAACTGTACATGTACACATACACAATATTTGCTATTCTTGGTCAATCGTCAATTTTACGTCAGTTATCTTAATAAAAATAAATTAAAATGTTATGTTGGTGATTTTTTTTCTAGAAACTGATGTAAAAAGTTTAAATTCAAGGAACTTATTCTTTTTCTCTCGACCAGAATTCGCTTATGCAATCAGGCAAAAGTATTTTTAATTCATTTTCACCTATAAAAAATTAACCAGTCACTCATAAATCAATTTACTTTCACAAGATTCAAGTTTACATAGATCAAATTGAATAAAGACAACAGTTACCAGATAGTATATGCAAAATTGTTTGAGAGAATTCCTTTCCAAATAAGATTTTTTAGTAAAAACATTGATATCAATTTTACAAAAAATCCTGATGAGACGGGAGAAAATGAAGGTCATTTTTGAAATCAGCACATCAAATAACATATAATTCAACAATAACTTCTCTTGTATTTTTCAAAAACTTTACTTTCGCAGGCTTGTGTAATACAAGTAATAACATAAAAATAGTTAAATGTTCACGCATCTAAAATAACATTGAATGAATTATTATTTTTTTGTTTAATTTCTGTTTTTGTCTCAGATTTCATTTTTTAATTGATAGTTATTATTTAGACTTTTTTAGACCCTTCAAACATGAAGATCATAACTTTTTACTTAATTTGTTCATTATAGAATCTGAGTAATAAAATTTCTTTTAAAAATATCTAAATAGCATTAATATTTTGCAGGAGATGGCAAGTTTTCCCAAAAGTGGGAAAAACTATCTTAAAGAAATAGGTATCTGTCAACCCAAAGGAAAAAACTCTTTTTTACAAAAGAAAACAGTTTTTAAGCAGTTTATAATTGCAATCTAGTTTAACTAATAATATTAATTTTCAAGCTACTTACTATATTATTTTTAAATAAGGAAAATTAAAAAGCAACAATTAGAAAGAAAAAAAATATCAAATTTCTAGAGAAATTAAAATGACTGTATTTTTTAAATGTTTTATGTGAATGAGAATAGTAAAACCTTGTTCTATAATTTTATGAAGAACTGTTAAAAATAAAATAAAACAAATCACATTCTAAACATAAACAATACTAAAAAACACATATTAGAATTCACAATTACAAATAGTCAACTAATTTTTATAACCAAATATACCATTAAGTATGAATATTCATACTCGGTCTTAAATAATATGAAAATACTTTATTTAACCAAAGTATATATGAAAAACTTTAAACTCTCTGTCACTAAATTAAATTTAATTACTTTTAAACAATTATATTAGTCTTTTTTAATTTCCTGCATTTCATCCAGTTTCTTACTGTGCCCAGGAAGAAATTGCCAACCTTCCATTTCGCTATTTGAAAAATATAACAAAAAAATTGCATACTATTTTGTTTTTATTTACATGAATTAGGGACATATTAATGGTGATGAATTAAAGGGTCCAATTAGACCATTTGAATAACATCTGATCCAGACATAATATGTTTTCTCAAATAATTCTGCTTTCAAATAAAAATAGTTTTTCTTGGTTATAAATGCTTGAACATCATCATTGCTAGTATCCTGAACCCATATTTCATATTCAATGTAACTGACATTCATAAAAGCAATATTCCATGGTACTTCCCAATATAATGTCAAAGTTTTACTATCCATAGAAATATTGCAAACACAGTCACGCACTGTACTAGGGTAAATATTATAGTGCACAATTTCTCTTTTCAGCTGACTTTGATTTTTTTCATTTTGAGTTTCAATCAAAGCATTTTTAAATGATATGATATCAACAAAAGTATCTTGATATATTCTGTACAGCCATATTGGATTATCACAGCATAGAAAAGGGGAAACAAATGAATTTTTAATTTTACTTTGTTCTGAATCAGAGAGGTGCAAAATACCTCCCAGTTCTGGTGGATATTCCGGATGAGGTACAGAATTCTTTTCAAGTTTATTTTCCAAGGCTCTATAAATTAAATTTAAACCTGGTATTTCAGCTAGAGTTTTATACGGAGTACTGATATTTGAAGGAACACCATATGGAAATATTTCGAGCAAGACTGAAAACTTTTTTAAAAACAGTGACAAAATTAAAAGAGATCCATGGATTCCAACCATAATTTGACACTTCATGATTTTTTCAATTATTTGAAAAACTGAATTTTCTTCCAGATTCATAACAAATGTATCTAATCCTAAAGTTTCAAAAATACTCAGTTTTATTTCATATTCATTTAAAAGTCGCCTATTGCGTTTTCTTGTTAATAAAACTGCACATTTTTTTTCTTCGTGCGATTTTAACGAGAATTTTTGTTGGAAATATTCTTGGAAAGCCAAAATTATTGGAGATATTTCCAAATTAGATTTTGGTAGAGCACCTTGAGGTTTCCTAAAGCCATATTGATACCATGTTGAATATTTATTTAGTCCAATATGAGTTCTCTCAAAACAATATAAATATTCTTTTGAAAGCAATTTAATGTAAAGTGGTTTCTTATAGAGAAAATTTTCATAAATATGTCGATAAGGACCAGGTTCCCGGTCATCAGCAAATACAAATGATACAATGCCTTCCTCAATTTCTCTATTTGTATATAATTCAGTTAAAGTAGAATAAGAAGGTAAGAGATCGTCGTGAAATACATGCATTAAATTTTCGGGATTGAAACGTTTGAATATCAGAAAGTTTCCTTTCAAGTAGGAGATATTAAATTTAGATATAAATGTGTCGGGTAATTCAACGAAATTGAAATACTGAGTATTATGATCATCAACAGACGAAAAATCGATTAAAGTGGGAGAAAATCTATCATGAGGTAATCCACTTCGTATTGATTTCTGATTATGAAGAAAAACAAACGATTTAGATTGAGGATCGTAACATAAATGCTTGAAATGACAAATTCTATCAGTGTGATTGGTTCCTCGACAAATTACAGAAGAATATAACTCTGAAAGAGGTATTTCCCCATTTCTATAAAAGGAGCTTTTAAATAAATGCTTCAAGAACTCTTTATTTACATAAATTTCAATGCAATAATAAAACACTATACATAGTAGAGGAATAAATAAGTACAAATGTAAATTCTTAAAAGCATCCATGAAGTTAATCGATTATGGATGATTTGCAAAGCAAAAATCTCTTTTTTCGTAGGGCATAGTAAATTAATATAATTTCTAAAATAATAATGTAAACATAAGTTAACACAGTAAAATTTTATGAAGACATAAATGCATCTTATTAATCCCAAAAATGAATCGAAAAGACGACTTTTAAGCCAGTTAGCTGTAATAGGGACTACAGCTGAAAAGAGAAAAGTAAACAAATAAGCATGTTCTGCTCACTTCAGATATCGAAACCAACAAGTACATTAGTGACACTGTCACTAATGTTCAAATATATTTAAATTTTCTTTTGATTAAAATAGCTATTAATAATATCTGGTCATGTCTCAATAGTTATCTTTACATAATACTTAATTTTATGCAATATGCTTAGCCACAAAAACTATTTTTTATCATTTAACGGCTTATCAAATTAAATTAGATCATTTTGCTGGCAACAATCAGATTCAGGCTAAGGACAGATTTGTTGCTGTTGTTGCTGAAAGTGAAAAAAGAACTTCCCTAAGAATTGTTTCCTAACAAAGACTTTAATATGTCTTACGCGTACCTATTTAAATATATAATTATTGGAGATACAGGTATTTATTAGATCAGAACTCTGAATGTTGTAATCTTTGTCTATATTTTATTCTGATAACTCTGACATATGTGTACAATGAGTAATGTTGTGCGTCATGCGTGTCCATGTAATAAATCTAATTACTATACAGAGATTGCTTGAAAATTGTTTTTCCTTAAAAAAAAAGTTCTAAACAATAGAAATAGTTTGCCTGATTTCTTTTAATTGGGTTGAAGGAACAAATACAATTTCATATAAATAATTATCACCTTATACTAATTTTGAGACGTAAATTTTATATTATATGCAAAAGATTTTTGTACTCTAAAATAATTTTATTTTATTATTGATAATTTTTAAAGCTTCAACAGTTGAATGGAAGCAAGGCTGGATTGCTCAGAGCCTGCTTTTGGGAATGTCCCCCTTTTATTTCAGTGTCCCTATTCATAAGATACTTTTTTTCTTATGAATATACTTAATGACATAAATATATTATACTTATAGACTTTTATGTGCTTTCTTGAATTTAAATCTATGATTGATTTTACCAATAAAAGGTTTAGCTGAGGAAAAAAAATCTAACTTAAAAAAATTTTGTTGCATCTATAATGCATGACTAACTTAATATTACTTAAAATTCTGCGTATTAATGTAATAATTTATAAAATTTCTGATACTTTATTTGAAAGTTTGTCTTCTTTGTTAGGTTCAAAATTTAGAAGTTAAAATTGAATAGCTTAAATACACTGAGTTTAACACATACATTTATAAATACACATACATTTATTGAAAGTATTTAAGTTAATCAGGTTAAAATGGTATTGATTTCATGAAAATTAGTAAGTTTCAAGACCAGCTAGTCTAAAAAGTTACTACTTCACAAATTGTGAAACGCTCTTAGAAATATAAATTTGAGGTTACTAAAACGTGAGAAACTACAAACAACTACAATCGTTAAGGTGCTAAATAGATTTTAAACTTGCACATTTTTAAAATAAAAAACAAAAACATGTTGAGATTTGCCTGGGGTGGCTAAAAGTTATATCTTTCAAGTTGGTACATTTCTATGATGTTTTTTTTTTTTTTTTTAAAGTTTTTTGTGTGGGGCATTGCTCAGAAGTTGGCAAGACTTGGCGATTATTCTGCCACAAATCACGATATGGAAATCTCTCCACAAACTAACATTCTGTTGAGGACTCCATTCTCTCCTTGTAAAAATATATGGGGGAATATGCATTTAAATAGTAGTTAGTTATAATCCTATTCTAAATCACTCCTCTTTGTGCAAAACAAAATTAATATAAGAAAAAAATAATCCTTTTTAATGACATTTAAAAAATTGGCACATAAGTTGAAACATTTGTCTGTATATTACGTGATTCTATCTTTAATGTTAGTTTAGAATTTTTAGATAGGTTGCCTAATTAATAAATCATTAAAAAGACACTCAAATTAGGAAATTTTTTTTAATGAGAGTGCTCATGTTTGACAAAGTCAAATATTGATTAGTCAAAAATTTTTGAATGTGTAATGTGTTCTGTAAAAAGAAAAAATTCTACAAATATTATATGTTTAAATTTAAAATTAGTTAATTAGCAATATATGAGTATGCAAAAGTAAAACAACTTGAAAAGAAATGTGTCCTTTAAAAAATAATTAATAATTTTATTAGAATATGTGCACATAAAGATTGTACTAAAAAAGAATTTAATTTAATATTTTGCTGATCAAAACCAATACGCACTACTTGCTTGCTACATTCATTGCTATTTGCTTAAAGTTATTGAACAATGAAATTAATTTATAGCGTATAATATAGTTTATATTATACTGTGTGTTGGATAAAATTTTGTGAAATTTTTTTATGATATACTATATAGTCTGACTTAAGTAATTAAATTTTTAATTTTAAGTAAAAAACCTACTGCTACCTAATTGACTTTTCAAATAATGTCTTAAATTTCATTTTCTTGAATTTTATGGTTTTTAATTATTTTTATGTATTATAGTGATTATGCTTATTTATTCAATACTAATTTGTAGGTGTTGGGAAATCTTGCCTTTTGCTCCAGTTTACAGATAAAAGATTTCAACCAGTCCATGATCTAACTATTGGTAAATTTCTTTCTTTTTTTTTTTTTTTTTTTGATCATTAAGAATTTATATTGAATACTGTACAATAATTTAGTAATTATAAGGTTGACCTCTTTTATATTTTATAACCGTTCTTGAACAGCCGACCCAGTTTTTTTGGTTTACGACTACACTAATGTTCAATTCCGTAGCCCTGTAATTTTGAACTCCAGAAGACAAGGGAACTCCTGGATCAAGCATTGGTAGAAATTTGCCTTCTTGGTGGTCTTTTTGATGGAACTAACCCCATTTGCGTTTCATGGAGAGTAAAATCACGAAAACCTCCTCCCACAGTTAGCCTTACGGCAAGAGGACTCTGACATTTCGTGTCAGCACCGTGGTTGGTACAAGCGGAGTGCGGAATCTGTTTCGACCAGTGGTCGCTAGGGTTCAAACATTGTTCACCTTATTGGGAGGTGAGCGTTCTATCCCCTGAGCCACCCTGGCTCTAAGTGTGACTTCTAGTAGAGTAATGTGTTTCATTGCAGGAAGTAGCTTTAATTCTTACTTTTTATTATGACCTTTGCTAAACCATTTTTTTTCTCCCTTGCCCTTGAAAATTCAGGCTATTGAGGATGTATTGTTTTAGCAATATTTATTTTTCCTTTTCATACAGTATTTATGTATTTAAATTTTTGTATGCTTGTTTTATCGTGTACTTGTTTCAAAATGTTGAATTTTAGCAATTTATTAACAGATTGCTTATTTTGTAGGTGTTGAGTTTGGCGCTCGGATGATAACCATTGATGGAAAGCAAATCAAGCTTCAAATATGGGATACAGTAATATAAAGATATTATTATTATTTTTAATTATTCTACTAACAATGTTAATTACCAGTATTCAGTTTATATCTTAATTAAAAGTTTTAATTAATATTTTAATTAATCTTCTAATTAATCTTCTATTGTGTAGCTTGATTATTTCGAAAATTCTTTAAATTGCTTCTTTCATTTCTTGTTTTAGTGATAGATAATCGCATTTAAAAGTAAAGATATGCATGTTCGTCTTTGTCTTTTCTTTTTTTCTTCTTCCAAAAAGTGATATTTCATTTGTTTATAAAAAGTATGGCAAACTATCTCAAGGATACCAAAAGGAAATTAAATACTCATTTTTTAAAAAATTATTTCAAAAATGTTTAGTAATTTCAAAGGATCTCCAACTTTTTTAGTATGCATGACCCATTAAAGTTATCTTTTTTCTTGGGCTGAAATATATTTTATTATATTATTGCTATTTAATTGAGCAGTTACATTTTTAATTTGAATAACTACTAAAATGTTGGTGTTCATGTAATAAGAAATGTTTCAATTTGATTGATTTTTCAAATTTTTAGATACAAAAATAAAAAGATGATCGACTATCTCCTCTTTACAAATCTTCCCTCCCCTATGAGTAATCATCAATAGTAGTGTTGAAATTGTCATTATGAAGAGCTGGATCCTAATGTTGACCACTTTGCCATGTTGTTATTCATAAAATTGCAGAGTCTTAACTTCCCTGACCACTTGGTCCATGAGCTATTGCAAAAGAATGTAAATGAATATCACCTGTGCTGCAAAATATTTAAACAACTGCTTCAGATGGTTATTTTCATTATCTACGCCTCCTCCAGTCATTCTTAGTTACTTGATAAATAAAAAAAAAATATTATTCTGTTCCTCTTGCTGGTTGTGAATTTTAGTTAATTGCTTATAATTCCTTTTTTAACATGACACATTAGCGCCACTAATAATAATTTAATGTTTTTAATAAGAACTAAAATTAGAATAACATATTTTGAGCACACAAACATACTGGGTAAAACTGAAAACAAACAAAGATACAATAGCCTTAGTTGATTACAGGTGGAAGTGAAAATTAAAAATAAATATTAAATTTTTCATTAAATTGAAATCTTAAATCTAATCTTTCGTGAATATTTTATGTGTTATGTGGAGCTTAGTATGGTGTGTAGCTTTTATAAAAAGTGCTTATTTTCGATTTACATTTTTTAAAAGCCCTTAAAGGTGCATCTTTCATTGAGTGTTTTTAAAAAGTGCTTAATTTTCCCTTTTCGAAAATTAGATTTTTTTCTTTACCAGGTCAATTTTTGCCCCGTGTTATACAAACGCGTGCTTTTCGCATTGTTCTATTCGACGTTTTCACAATTCATTCAACCACAATCTATTTTAGCATACCGTCGGTCCATAGCGTATGAAAGCGCCAATCATGTTACGGATTTGATTTGTCCTAATGTGCGTATAGTGAAATTACTGCACTCTCATGTGCAACTCTGCTGCATTTTACAAGGTATTCTCAATTTCTAGCTTCATTTTCCGCCCTGTGAATTCAAACCGAAAAATCTCTTGATCATTTTTCAATAGCTTATATAATCAAGAAAAGAGGTCTTTGTTAAAAACGAGTTATTTTATCACGACCATGAAAACTGTTTTGCATTTTGTTAATGTATATAGTGTTTAAAAATATTTTTTGAAGGCTTAAAAGGTGCTTATTTTTTGTTGAAAGATTTAGCTACGCACCCTGGCTGAGAGCATAAACTAAATAATTAGCATTATTGTGAGTTAAAAAGATTTCAAAAGTATCAAGATCGCTTAATTTCAAATATAAAAGCTCTTTAACTTTTAAAGATGCCTATTATATGGCATAAATGATAATAAGCAATCTCTATTATTTCCTTTAAGGCAAAATTCATACAATCTGTAAATTAATTGATAAAAGTAAATCTTTTGGTATCCATTTAATTAACATCAAATTTTAACAAATAAGGATTTTTTTTAATGAGATATTTGAATATATTTTTTAACACGAAACTGAAAGCACAAGCCATGCAATGTCAACTGTACAGTGTTTGTTGTGCAAAAATGCCTATTAACTAACAAAAATTACATTTCTTAATTTTCCATCATTCAAAAAAAAGCCTTTCTGAATTGCATATTTAGTATTAATTTTCCTACAAATAAAAGGGAATTTCAGAAAGCTTTGATTTTGTGCTTTCGAATTCTAAGAAATAAAAAAAAATTTTGAGAAGTCTTTTCTATTTTTGAATCATACTGTATTTTACTTAATTTATTTTGTTATTAAATCTCATAATTTTAATTTGTTGAGTTATTTAATGCATGCCAAATAAGACAAAACTGTCAGTTTTTAATATAAAGTTTTATTTTATTACTGTTGTTATTATCTTTATCTATTTTATTACTATTGTATTGTATTATCTTTCTGTTTTCTAATGTAGAACTATATTATTTAGGCAGGCCAGGAAGCTTTTCGTTCAATTACAAGATCTTATTATAGAGGAGCTGCTGGAGCTCTGCTGGTTTATGATATTACTAGGTAAAACGTTTAACTCACATAATTAATACAAACATGAGATCCTTCTGTAGAATCGTTTTTTTCTTTTTCGTTACCTATCTCTTTCTAATTTTTCGGTATTCATTTACTTTTTGTTTTATTTCTGAGGATTATATTTATTATATATCTGAACAATCACCGTAAATTTTGTGAAACTAATCATCATCAGGGCTAGATTAAAAATTCTTGAAAAATATCTTTTAAATGCAGAAAAAGAAACCTTTATCATCAAAAATAACCTGTAGACGCAAAATAATGCCATTTAAATTCTTTATGCCTTGTTTTATATTGTTTTCTTTTTCAGTTATAAGTTCTTTTTTTATGAATTTAATAAGAAATAAAATAAAAATGTAATTTATAAATAGAATGTCATGAATGTCACCTCATAAAGATAAATAAGGATATATTAACTGTAAGTAACAAACTTCGTAAACATCATAAGTACATTGTATTATTAAATCTTTTTTGTATTCTTAAAGTCAAAACGTCTTTCTCTCAAATGCTATATCTTGAAAACTTAGAATCAATACCATCATATGTTATAAGAGCATATATTAAATACATGACCCAATGCAAAATATACAATAAACTATAAAGGAAAAAAACTAATTCCCAAGCAAATTGCTTTTAAAAAAAATATCAATCAAAATTTATAAAATATGACTAAGAAAATGAGAAATCTAAAAAATAATTTTGAATTTTAATGCTCCCCTATAAAGGAGAAAGTAACAAATGCACCTATCATTAACATCGTAGCCCTGCTAATCACTAAGAGCTTTAAATCCATTAATTGATAAAGATTGAAATGAAGTGTTGGCAAGTTTTATTTTTCAGGTAAAGAGCCATTCACTGATTGATTTTCATAGAGCTATTTTTTGTCAATCACACTCTAATCAATTTTGTTATCTTAGTAATTTTATTTCTATATGGCATTATATTCTCATTTATTTAAAAAGTCAGTTACCAACATTCCATTATTAAAAGATTATTAAAAAAAAATTCTCCATATATTATGCATTTTGACTTGGATGTGACGATCCTTTTATTAAAAGTATAAAAAACTTGCTGTAAATTATTATTAGCTTATACTGCATTCAAATCAATGTTAATTTTCTTTTTTTTTAAATTTTTTAAATGTCCCCCCTTTTTTTGGTCCTTTTTGAAATTTTGTTCCTGCTAATGTCAACAAATTAAAAAAGGAATATACAAACCTGTGGCCATTAAATAGTCAATGTACAGCCCTTTGCCTTACAATCAAAAACTAATTGGAAAAATTTCTTGACTAGTTTAAGAAATTTTAACACTGTAATACAAACTAATTTCAATTTAGAGTAATACAAACTTTCAAAAACTAGTTATATAATAGTTACATTTAAAATATGAAAATGTAGAGGTACTAATTCAGACCTCAATAAGTTTAATTCTATCCCATTGTATTTTTTTAATATTTTTTTAACGAATATTTTCTGCTACCGAAAAATATTAAAAGAATTTTACTTTGAAGATTCATTTAAATATTGATATACAGAATGATAATTTTAAAATCCATTTTCATCAAAGAAAGTAAACCTTTAAATATTATTCTTTCAAAAAAGACAAAAGTGTTAAGCTTCATGTGTTTTTAAATATAAAATTATTGTTCATATACTTAGTCTTTTAATTTTTAGACTCATTGATATTGTCCTTATTATATTAAAATTTATAAGAACAATATTATTTATGTAGCTATTATCAATTGATATAAGAATTTTGTACCTTGCAGCCCTCTTAAAAAGTGCTTCTTTACTAATAACAAATAGCATAGGCTATGTTTTTTTTTACAAAATAGTAAAAAAAAAATTCTTTTTCATAGGTGATGTTTAATTTAGTTATCTATTTCTTTAGGAGAGACACTTTCAACCACCTTACTACTTGGCTTGAAGATGCCAGACAACATTCCAATTCAAATATGGTGATAATGTTAATTGGAAATAAAAGGTATTTTATTTTTGAAAAATGTAGTTATTTCTGTACTTATGCGTTTGAATTGCCCAAAAATGAGGAAGGATAGGTTTAGATGGTTATTAACATTAAATCTTAAAGATGTTGTGTAACTTTTGCTAACATTATAATAATTGCAATAGCTAAATTATAATAACTAAAAATTTTTAAACATATAGTTTAGTTATTGAGATTTTATTATTGCACACTGTACAAATCAGTGATTCTGCTTATTCTTTATAGCTTCACAAATGCATCAAGAATTGTTGACGGGACACAATAATTAAATACTTATAGATATTCTATTGATTGATAGAGTATTACACTTGATTTTCAATCTCAGGGGAAAGAAAATGAAACCAGCACCACTGAGTCCTACTCATATTAGCTAGGTTTTTGAAAAGGAAAAAAAAAGAACTTTTTTTTTTCATTACTGTATTAATATGAGAAGGATAAAATAATTTTCTTGATATAAAATTATATTGTTGCTTTTCCTCAGTGTCAATGTTTGATTAATTTTATGAAATGTAAAGCTTTGATTCTTTAAATACTGCTCTTTTTTGTTTTGACTACCAATTGGTAGAATACCTATAAATGTGCATATTAGATGGATAAGGAGAGAGAATTTATCATCTACTCATATATCATAGATTATATGTATATATTTTTATATATTTTGAAGACTTTTTTTTCCCCTCCACCTATGTTTTAATTTTTGAAACATTGTCTAAATTGAAAATGTATTTTATTTAACATAAAAGTATCATTTGATTTATGTATAAATAAGTTTCTTAACATGAATGGAATTTTGAATAGTGATTTAGAATCTCGTAGAGAAGTTAAAAAGGAAGAAGGGGAAGCTTTTGCGAGAGAACATGGATTGATATTTATGGAAACATCAGCTAAGACAGCTGCTAATGTTGAAGAGGTAAATAATTTTTTTGTTTTATTGTTAAACATTAAGCTTTTTAATTTCATAATTACCAAGCTGTAGCACTTTATACTTTAACTGATTTCTAATGTGGCCAAATTTGTACAAAGATTTTATTGCTCAGTATCTGCGTTGAAAACATGAGAAAACTGATTTTCGGTGCCGAAAAGTAACGAAGTTGTATCCAAACTTAAGTTGGGAGTTAACTGTTAAAGGGTTATGTGTATTTTTCAGCTGTTCCTGTGTTTGACCATGCACATTTTTGTACTTTATTTACTTGTGTTTTTTTCATGTAGTGCATCGTAAGATTAATGTATTTTAACAAAGGAAGTTTTGATAGACGAACACAAAGTGTGTATGCTGCTGAAAAATATAAATTAAAGTTGGATTGGTTAAATGAAACAGTCAAAACTGTTGGTAACGATCTATCAGAAGATATTGAAGTGAAAGTTTGTGACTGTTTTAGTTTAAAATGATTGACTGGCAATTAGTTTAAAATCATGATTATTAAGCCTTATATACTGATTCATTTTCTTTTATTTAGTTGTGGTCTAAGAAGTTTAAAATTATATTCAAGAAAAATTTAAATTTCACTGTCAAAATGCTTCTGCAACTTTTATTATGAAATAAAAAGATCTCATGGCAAAGTTAGAAATTTTGGTTTTATATATCTTATTGATATCACAGTATTACATAAAACACTCCCTCCCACCTCCCAGTGTCTGTGTTGTAAAAGCTCAGCATTTTTATTTTAGTCCACTTTCATACCTGATAAAAAATAATAATAATTTTTTTTTAACATTGCAGGCATTTCTTGTTGATTAGATAGATGTAAATTAATGTAGGTTCTTTTAGTTTGAAAAATAAAATTATTTGTAATTTTAAAAAAATGATAGTTTTAATAGTAAGAGTATTTACTTTTGACAATGCTTACAGAACATCTGTAATTATTAAAAAGTCTTACTGCAGAACAGTATAGATAATTCTGCTCCTGAGTTTTAAAAAAAAAATTGTTATTATGAAGAAGTGAGAAAGTTGCAATGTATGTGGTTCAGGGTTGCCAAGTTCTTTCTATGGGGGAAAAAACCACTATAAGAGAAATAGGTTACTTCCATCCTTAGTGGAAGAAACTCTTTCATGAGAGGTATAAAATATGAAACGAGGTGTGAAATACGAAATTTTTTTTAAGCATTTTATAAATGTAATCTGATTTAAATAACAGGATTAAATGTACAACCTTCATATAAGAAGTGAAATCTAACTACAGTGCAACCTCGAAAATCCGGACTGCTGGGGGATTTGGAGGGTCCGGATTTTAGATACCTTACTTAAATTGATAGAGTTATCAAAGTTTCGAATTCGCCAGGCCGATTTCGCGATTAAACGCGCGTGCGTAGACCTCCGACGTCATTAACAACTTAACATAAATGTACACTTTAAATAATAAATAAGAGACATTAAAAATCAAACTCCCCCCGTAATTGTTTTGATCATTTAGATAACATAATATTAGCAATTAAAACTAAAAATATAAGCTTTAAACGCTAGCTGAATTACAACCTATAACTGAAACAGCTGCTTCTAGACTGAACTGTACCAGCTAATACTAATCCTTTGTTGTTGGGGGTTGAAAGAACTTGTCCCCACCCCTAAGCTTCAAGGTCAAGAAAGAACCAGTTTTCTTTCTTCACAAAGGGGGAAAAGCAAGGTGGTAAAAGAATTCCTCCTCCCACAAGCCTTATCTATGGAAAAATATAGAGGGGAATCCCCTCTATATAGAAGAAAATAGAGGGGTATCCCCTTTGTATTCTTTGTTATCTATGCAGAGCTGATAAGAATGACTGGAATTTCCTTATCAGCCATTCCACCTTAAGTTGGCACTGGAGATAAAAGTAGGAAATGTAATACTCCGCCTTCGCTGTTTTGGAATTAATTGCAGTTTAAATGCGCTCACAAATATAAATAAATGTTGCATAGTAAGAAAAGTATATCTTGAAACATTCATTAGAAGTTTTTCATGTTTAAATGTATTTAACTTATAAATACCTTCTCAGTAAAGCGAATGTACAAAGAAGAAGGAGGTGTTTTAGTTTGGCGCTGAATTAGTTTTCAAGGACAAGGAATTGGCTCATTGGCTATGTTTCTGCACTGGTCAGTCCGCTTTTCCATTCGCCTTGGCTTTGCTTAAGTGTCCTATCTCTTGTGCAGTTCTTATTTCGTTTTTTTTTTGTATTTGATTATTTAATTTTCTAAATATTAACCTCATCTGTACAATATTTAATGAAAATTTTTTTCCCCTCAGAATAAATGAAAAAAAAAACACCCCTATAGACAGGTGAATATTATTAAACTGATGACAGTTGAGCATATTTGCTGTGTAGCTAATTCAACATGTGATTTTATTATTATTTTTTTACGACAAAAGAAATTTTTTTTTCGCTATATTCGATCTCTGCAAAGATTCAAATTTTGCGTCTTTTGCGCCATGTTTAGTTCAATTCATGTTTAGTTCATGTTCATATTTAGTTCAAGTACAATTCGCTTTTTATAGGAACTTAAATAATGTAAAAATTTAAGATTTTTAGTTTGTTCAATTAAAGGGACTTTTAAATATTATCTGAAATACAATTTCCATAATAGAAGTGTTAACTCGTTAGTTATAAACTAATAAAATGTATAGGAATTGAAATAATTTAAAAAAAGACGCAAAATTTGAATCATTAATTTTTTTTAAACATCGAAAGGTTAATTTAAACCAATCAATATTTTAATAATTATTTTTGAAATACAAAGCCCAAAAAGCTGAGAAATCCTTTCTCTTATGTAGAAAATATTAAGATATTTCAGTATCTGACAAAATATTTCGAGACTAACTAATTCTACTGTACTTAAATAACAAATTATACGGATTTTTCTCTTAAGCCTCCTTTCACCTGCAAAGGTCCTGAAAAGTAAAGGAAAGTTCTGATATTTCAAAATATGTATTTTCTTTTGAAGAAATGCGTCTACCCATCCAAATAGAATTTCGCCTGATGAGAAATTGTGGATTGAATTCAATTCAGGGCTACCCCACAAAGAGTTTGTAGAAGGAACTGTCAACTGTTAAAATATTAAATGAATAACATGATAACCACCAGGATAGGTTGTTATCATGTTATTCAAAGAGTTCCTGTTTTGAGTCTAAGAGGGTGGGATATAGCAGCTGAAAACATGGGGGGAGGGCGAACAAACAGTACGCCCCCCCCCCATATGGATAATATTAATTATTTTTTTCAGGTAAGTTCTTTAGTCTCTTAGAAGCAAATATATTTCAGAAAAAAAAATTTATAGTAAAAAAAAAGAACAGTAAATATTAAAAAAACATAGGTATGATATTTTTCATGATCAATGATTTCCTGCCTATGTTGACTTTTTCTTCCCCAACAAAACACCAATGAGGGATAAATTAATGTACATTAATCTACAAAAAATAAGCATATAAAAATAAATATTTAAAACAAAGTATTTATGCGCATCTATGCATTTCGTTTTTTTTTTACTTAGATTTCAGCAAAAAAGAATCTTGTCAAATATATTTTTTTCTGTTTAAAATTAGCTTCGTTTAATTAAAAAATTATAATAAGGAAAAAAAACAGTAAGTATTATAAAACATAAGTATGATCTTTTTCATGATCAATAATTTCCAGCCTATGCTGACTTTTCCTTCCCCAACAAATCACCGATGTGGGATAAATTAATGTACATTAATCTACAAAAAATAAGAATAAGAATATAAAAATAAATATTTAAAACAAAGTATTTTTGCGCATCTATGCATTTCTTTTTTCTTTTTTTTTTACTTAGATTTCAGCAAAAAAGAATATTTTTAAATATATATATTTTTTTCTGTTTAAAATTAGTTTCGTTTAGTTAAAAAATCATAATAAGAAAATCTGCTTTTTAAATACTAATTAAGAAATCAGCTTACAACTAGTATCTTAAAATAATAATTATGAGAAATGCTCTAAAAAATCGTGCTCTTTTCCGTATTCTGTACAAAATTTTAGTACGATTCTTGGTTTAAAAAAAAAAAAAAACTGCGTTTTGCTTTCTTAAACGCCAATACTGGCCACTTTCTCTCCCTTTGTTGCTACAATCCGGTCTACCTACCTTTCTCTCCAGTGCCAACTTAAGGTGGAATGGACTATATGAGCTTTCATCCACTCCCCAGCCCTACCTCTTCATTTTTGGAGTAGACATGTGGTTTTGTGCTTTTACATTCAGATTTTTATTTTAGGAGTTTTTTTTGTTTGGAAATTTGTTTTTGAGGAACTGGATGTAAGAGTCCGGATTTTAGAGATTTCCGGATTACAGAAGTCCGGATTTTAGAGATTTCCGGATTACAGAAATCCGGATTTTCGAGGTCGTACTGTACTTCTTTCAATATTTTACATAAAAGAGTATAGTAAAACCTAATTTTATAATTCTCTATAGAATTTTTAAAATATCATTATAAATTTTGTCAATGTTATTAAATTAACAAACTTCATACTTAGCATACTAATTTTTAAAATCAAATACTTTTATACAAATCAAATACTTTCAATACTTAAATAATATGTATGATATATACATAGATTTTAAAATTCTGTACAAATCTAAACTAAATATCAAAAGTTTTTTACAGTATCTGTGAAAAACTTTCTGGTACTATATTAATTTGTTTAAATTTTAATTAATTTCATAATACTAATCGCTAATTTTATAATATGAGTCATTTTTAGTTTCTTCCACTTCCCCTGAAATGAAGGGATAGGTTTGCTCTGGATGAAATCCTAATCATGACTTGGTTGCAGATATCTTTTTCTTTCTAAAAGTTAAAACTAATTATTTTTTTAACTGTGTATTTATTAAAAGTCTGAGTTTGAAATTAAATATTTATTAGAATTGCATATTTTGAGTTATTGTGTTCAACATCGTACTGCAAACTTAGTAAGTGGCTCGTAAAATAATCATAGACAGAAAAAGAATACTCTGCTTTGTCAAGCTCGTTATTATCACACCATTATTGGACTCGTTGCCATACCTGCCAACATGTACAGTTTTGCCGTGCAAGGTACGGTATTTTATCCAATTGTGCGGTCGTTTGTGCAAGTGTTGAAATTCTACTGCTGCATATTTATTTACTATTCTTACATATTTTAAGTTGAAAAAAATTAAAATAACAATCTTTTGTAAATTACAAATTAAAAGATTTACAAATTTTAATACCAATTATGAAACTCTTCACTTAAAAAATGAGTCAGAGACAAGTTGTAATCGGGTTGTTTTTGGGAGCCAATCACTTGAAAGGCAGATTATCGGTATCCAATAAGAGTGGATATGTGCCTCTGCAAAATGAGCTAGTTGGACCTCTGATATATGGGATCACATAACTGCGGCCGTCAATATGGGTGAATAATCATTGCTAACTCGTCTGGAGTAATATGGGCCGATGTGTATTCTGCATCATACATTGTAGATCTCAATCTATCTTGTGTCACAGATCATGCGGGGCCAATTATTTAGGAAAATGTTCCCTGTAAGAGATGTTGCAAAAAAAATATGGTGCTGAACGAACAAAAATTGCTGCTATTATGTCAGAAATAGCAGATGTTGTAAATGCTTCCATTGTTGAATCTCTTCAGAAACAAATGTATGCTGTAGCTACTTATAGCAGCAATGGTACTTTATCCTATATTTGTGTCTTGCGTTAACGCAAAAGCCAGCGAAGTCAAGGTATCGCTGCTTGAATTTAGATGAACAATCTACCTATTAATGGGGTATTATTGTATAGTTTGTTAATGAGTTATAATTTCCCTTTGATCTTTTCCTTTCGCTCTTGTAAACACAGTGGATTAAACTTGCTGAGAAATGATTTTCAATTTAATGTTAAAATATTGTTATTAGAAAATAGTATAAAATTTTTCTTAACTTTATGTGTTTCTGAAATGTCTTGCATTTGTGTGTCAATTGAACCGGCAACTTAATAACCTGCTATTTTCTGTTCGTTTTGCTATTTTCTTTTCTCTGTGTCTTACCATTGTTTTCTTTTTCTCGTGGAGATATTATCCATTTTTCTTCTTCACTTATAGTTTGGTCAAAATGTATGAATTTAGCTGATTGCATTTTGAGGACTTTAGTTAAAGATAGTTTTCTATTTAAAAAGAACAGTATACGCATAGTATGGTACTTCAGTGTATTTGGTGCAAAATGGGATGAGAAAATATTTCTTAAGCATTGAAAACTTGCTTGAATAGTATGGGTAACTCTATTCATTGATTAATTTTGTTTTTAGGCTTTCCTCAATACTGCTTCTTACAAGGTTATTATCTATTTTTTCTCCCTGGTCTTTAAAAATTTGTCTTTCATTTTGAGCATCATATAAACCTCTGGTTGAAGAATGGTTGTATTTTTATAGTTATTTTTATGAAAATAAAGATATGATAAAGTATTTCAGTATATCTGTAAAATGGTATGTGTAAATTATATTCATTATTTTTTGTATTTAGGCTTTCATAAATACGGCTAAGGAAATATATGAGAAAATTCAAGAAGGAGTTTTCGACATCAACAATGAGGTATAATTAAATTTTTCTTTTAACATTTTTTCTTGTTACATTTGAATGATCAATTCGCAGGCTACACCTTGATACCAACTATTAATTGAAAACACTACTTAACATGTGAAGAAGAAAAAATTTAAAATGCTTTTCAAACTACAGTACACTTTTGATATCTCAAAAACCTTGTTATGTCAAAAAAAAAAAAAAAAAAAACTTTTTCTCTTGGCATTATATATGCACCTAATGTTAATTTGAATACCTATGTCAAAGGTCTTCTTATAAAATGTTGTTATGTTGAATATTTTTCAAAATAGAAAATGAATTTTTTCAGAAAAATCATATGAATTTAATGTAAACCATTTATTTTCTATGTAATGTATAATTATTTTTGTCCTTAACTATAAAATTAAAATTATCATTTTTGTATTTAGACTTCAACTATAGACTTCAACTATACATACATATTTAATAGTGATTATTCTTATGTTTCATGACTCTACTTATTAATGTAATATTTTAGAATATATTCTAAGTCTATTCTAAAAATATATTCGAAAAATATATTCTTTGTAGATATTTAGTTCTGAACTTGTTATCTCAAAAATCTTTTAGCCTCCCTTCAACTTTGAGATATTGAAAGTATACTGTAATTATAAAGTTTTAAAAAACAATAAGATAACTGACATTTAAATTATAAAGTGTAAAGGTACTGATTCAAGGTGTTTAAGATTTGAATGTATCAAACCACAATTTCTTTTTACACATTTTCTTTAACCATAACTGGTTAAAGGCAAATGATTATTTAAAAATTAAAACAAAGATTTATTTACTAAAAAAAGCTTTCTACAGCCATGTTTTGCTATAAATGTTTATTTTTATTCCTTAAATTTTCTATAAATAAATATATGTTTCGTTGATTTCAATGTTAAATTTATTTTTGTTTATTTTCATAAAACATTTTTAATGTATAAAACAATAAAAAAAATTTAAATAGAAGAAATTAGCAACTTTTAAAGAAATTTTTACATTTATTATAAATTGTTAATTCACAAATAAATTTTTAAATTGTGCTTAAAATAACACTAAGTCTTAGTCATGAAGATCTAATTTTTCCCCCAAGTTTCCTCAGGAAATAGATTCTGTTTGAACTATTGTGTTTAAAGATTCAAGTTAGCTTAAATATAAGTTATAAATAACTGAATAGAAATAATAGAATTTAATGAAGAAAAAAATCAAATATCATTGGCATCAAAATAAATAAAAAAAATTTAATCAACTAATATTTTCAGATTTATTTTTTAAAAATGTTTATTTTTAGGCAATTTTTTTAGCGTCCATTAAATTGCAAGAAAAAATTCAAAAGCTAGCTTTATTAGTATGAATTATAATCTTTTTGGCTGTTTTTTGTAAAGACCTCTTTTTTACTCAAAATCACACTTCGGTAGTCACAGACCAATTATAAACCAATTATGCTTTCAAACTCTGATATAACAATAAGCAAGTTGGTTAAGTTTTATCCGATAATTCTTTATCTCTACAGTATATTGAAGCTAAGAAATAAAAAACTTGCTCGTTTTTCAGTTAAAAAATTGCTATTCTAAGAGATAATTGGAAAAATTTTGCTACCAACCATTTGTAGCATTTTTAACAATTTACCAAAAATTTTACATTTTAAACAATTAAAAAAACTGCTGATATTATTGATGTATGGCATTTCTTTTGAGACACTTTTGAAAATATGTTAAATATTTTTAGATTCATTTGATTTTGGATAAACAAGTGTGAAATAAAGTAATTTGTAGAATATTTCAAAAAATGCATAATAATTTTATACTTAAATGCTCATGGGGTGAATTTTTGACGAAAAAAGTGATGGGGTAGCCAGTGGCTGACAGTTTTTTGTTACACTTGGTTGGCCTGTGGGAACTGTTAGTTTTATCTTTTAAGGCAAGAACTACTTTCAAAACAGTGTAGTCCATTAAGGCAAGAACTACTTTCAAAACAGTGTAGTCCAAATTCTTTGCTGTATCGTGGATGTAGTTTCTTTGTAAAATTTTAGCATAATTTTTGGCATTTTGAGATACATTCTAATTTTGTTATGAAGAAGAGATATTTATCCCAGAAAAATAAACAGATCAATTTGAGAAAAATTGATTTATTTAGAGAATATGGCCATAATTAGAAATAATGAAATAAAGAAAGAAAAGGATCAAGAGAATCATTTTCTTAACACCAAGAATTTCTATAAAGCTATAAATTCAAACTGAGAGGCTGAACCCCCCCCCCCCNTGAATTGTTCCCAATGAACAGTTGAGAGCATGGAAAAGATTCATGGTTGGCGATCTATCGAAAGATAAAATAGCCAAAGACAAAGCCAACCCCCGTAATCAATATTAAATTTGTAAATAATTTGGTTATGGCTAATTGTCAAAAAGACTGTGAAAATTAGTGTAACCATGTAATTGAAAAAATTTTATGGTAAGAAATAAAGAGTTATTTATAGATTATTATCTTTTTCGATTGAGTCGCGACAGTCGTTGATCAAGTTTTACATTTTTATTGAAATAAAAAGTTAGCCGTTAAAATTGATTGTTAAGAAAATAATAATATATTTATATTTGCTTTTTATAAAATGTAATAAAAATTAAATAGAAATATCTAGTATTAAATATAAATAGAATGGAATAAAAATTTAATAAAAAATCTAATAGAATGATTAAAAATATTTAAGAAATTTAAAAAAAATTTAAAAGCTAGGAAATATTTAATGCCTATTGTGACATCACAGTTATTTAAAAAAATTTCTTTTGTTGTAGAAATGATTGAATTGGGTCTTTTTATTGTAGGCAAATGGAATTAAAATTGGACCACAACATTCTCCCACCAACCCTAACATGCCGATGAGCGGTCAGGGATCAAACCAGTCTGGTGGATGCTGTTGAAAGTGCCCACACTATCACTTTGTTATGAACTTTGTAATGCATTCACTTTGTCAGTTTGATGGTTTAAAAAGACATTTTCCAATTACCCTCGTTTCTTTTAACCAAACTGAGTTGTGATTTATATAGTGTGTTTCAAAAATATTTAATTATTTTTCATCAATATTTCATTTTGAGGAAACTGTACTTATTCCTCAATAGTTAAAGATCATTATTAATAATAATCATATTTATTAATAACAATTATCATTATTGATAATAATTGCTTGCTAATACAAAAAATATGCAAAGTTCTATTTAAGAAACAAAATTTCATTAAGTTTAGCAAAATTTTTTAACAATAGCAAGTATTTTTCAGGCATAAATGCTACTGGATTTTCAGTATTTCTTGCAGATATTAACTCTCAAAATGGATTTAAGAAGAAAAAAAAAAGTACATAGAAAGCTCTGATTTTCTGATCTACTAACTAACTTTTTTTGTAATTTATCAATAAAAAGTTTTATCCCACTAACTTAATTTATTCCTTGTTCAGTTAGGTATATTAAAGCTTTTTTTGTTGTTCAGAAAAAGTGTAATTAATGGAATACCAAATCATTTTATTTTAAATTTTAACATTACTGTGGAAAACATATCCGTTTTATATTATTTCATTCAGAAATTCAGCTTCATGATTTGAGGAGAGCACCGTCACGGATAAGCGTCCCTGAATTTTTTCGAAAGTTTAATATTTTATTAACATATAAAAATCTATTTGTATATACAACATGATATTCCGGTAAAAAAAAAAAAAGTATTGTTTCACAAAATATAATATTGAGAAATGCATAAATAGTTTTAGCATTGTGCTATTAATTATGTATATTGATATCCTGTTCCTTGAATTTTTGGTATTTTATTATTATTTATTCTTGTAAATAAATGAAAAAAAGGAATAATATTTTAAATTTAACAATATCCTTTAAAAACATTACTGTAAGGTGATGCTATTGATTTCTATAAATTTTTAAGCATTCGGTAAAATAAAGAACAACTGGTGCCGGTAACCATTTTTAAAGTGAGTCCTTAATATTTATGTATTAAAATTAATTTCAAAAGTTTTTCTATTTAAACTACAATTTTGCTTTAAAAAATCTCCATAATTTGTGCTTTATAACTTTCTTTTAATACTTTTAAGTCTTACAATCTGTTTTTATCATACAATTTTTTTATTCATTGAATAGTTATAAAAATTTGGAAAAATAGTCTTTTCCTTCAAACTGTATATTTTGATATATTATACATAAATAAAATAGTATTTTATGTTTATAAAACTTTTAAATTAAGAACTTTTTGGTCTAATCTGTATATTATTTGTCTGTACTAAAAACTATTTTGTATTTAAGTATTTTCATGTATTTGTATGTATATCGCCTAGTTCTTTATGTGATGCATTACAAGTGTATAGCGTATGTATTTAAATAATCATTTTGCTTATCATTATGCTCTTATTAATAATTATTGACTATTGTATATTGTTTGATTTTTTGCTGATTAAGTTTCTAAATTTTTTTTCTAACACAATAAAAATCATTTATTACTAAAATGCATACCATATTTAAATGCAGTATAAATTCATTGCACTTAAATTTTGTAATAAAAGTTTCAATTAAATGCTCATCTTTAATGTAATATTTGAAAAACTTTTTTTATTTAAATCAAAATTTTCTGTTAATAAACTTTTTTTATAGTCAAAATATTTTTTCAACTTCCATTTTCACAAAAATTTTGTCTGAAGTAAAAAGAATAATAATCTTTTTTTAAAAGAAAAAGTAATTTCAAAAGAAGAAAAATCTCTAATTTGGAATTTCATTACTAATAAGTGTGTTGAATTTTATTTGTTCTACATTTTTAAGAAATGAATTTCTACTTTTATAACTATTTGTTTTTTAAATACTAGTAGAATCTGATGTTTAATAGAATAATTTGATCTCAAGACCATCTCAGCCCATTTTTTGAAACCCTTGATTTAGGTAAAATTTCACGTTAGGCATTCAGTTTCTGAACCAACCCACATTTAAAATCTGAATTTTGGTTAGGCATTTGAATCTAATAAAATTAATCTAGAATCTTTGAATCTAGGTTAATAAAATCTTCAACAAAAAAAAAATATTAAGTTACATTACTTGTTTTTATTTTATATGATTCCATGTACCCTATTCAGTTCAAATTTATATAGAAGCATTCAATTTTTATGCAAATTTTTAAAATGAATAAGTGTAATAATGTAAATGTTGTAAATAGTTTAATTTATTTTGTTTGCAAAGAACAACAGTACATAACGTGTTTTTTGGTTGAGTTGTATTACAGTTAGAAAATAAGAAGAAAAAAAATTTGTGTATTGTTTTCAAAATAATATCATAAAAATAATACCCAAGTTCAGATTTTTTTTTATGCTAAAGAAAAGGCATTTTTAATTAAAATCACAGAAGTGTTTTTAGAGAATGCTAAATGGATGTAATACTTGAATAAAAAAGAGATTATAATGGTAGTGTCTATTTTATTAAAATATCCTATAATAAAAAGTTTTAACAAATATGTATGGTTTGTGTACTGTGAAAGTTTAATTAGCTCTATAATTAATAGTGTAATACCAAAAAGTGATCACTTAATGACAATATTAGATACTTCATGTATATACAGTTCTAAATTATTATTAATGTGTGCAGCATAAAAATTATTATCCTATTTCCATAGTATTATCCAAATTCTAGATTCAATTATGGTACCCAAATTTTATTAATGCAAATTTTAATAAGGTTTTGTGAAAAATGATAGATAAAATGCCATAATTCATGTTAAGTGTATGATGGGATGTTCCAAAAAAAAGAGAAGTGCTAGAGTTTGCAAAATAAAATGCTTCTAGCTGTGTTGCTAAAAATCTTCAGTATATTTCTTTTATTTATATTGGACAATTTTTTTTTTAACGCAGAAAATGTTTAATAATCCAGACTGTTGTCCAAATTTCTATGAATTATGGGGTTTCATTGTACTGAAAAATGGATTGAGGTGGTTTTTTTGGAACAAAATACTTCGTTTTTTTTTTTTTTTCATTTAGTTTTTTACAATGTTGATGTATCTGACTAGGTATTAGTTTTAATTTTGTAACTCTGAAATACCCTTATTTTTTAATAAACTAATGTAGTGTGTACATAATAGGCTATGCATACTATATATACATATAAAAAAAATTTTTTTGTATTACTTTATCTAGTCATTTGTGTGATTATAATCTTTCAATATGATAGACACTGTATGTTAAACTATACTTGGTTGCATGCAAGAGTAAAATATTCGCAGTTACTTGTGTTGCATCTGTACGCTCAGCTAATAAATGTATTTCATTATTATTTCCCTTTTTGTCAAACTGTTCAAATAAAAATAGGGTACATGGTTTTGAAAGGAAAAAAAAAGAGCTTGGTTGAAATATTCAATAAATAGTTGTTTGTATCCTAATTCTGATTGAACCTTCTTATTTTTACTTCATGTATTACTATTACAAGCGTCAAAATTGTTTAAAAATACTTTCAGAAAAAAAAAATAGCCATAGCTTTGTAGACGATTAAAACTGATCACAATAACTGATGAGATTGTCATTATAACAGGCTTGTCACTATAAGCATATGCAACATTTTTTTTTCCTTAATTGAATATATTAAAGCAATGAAATATGCTAGTTTTCCGAATTTTCCAGAGCATTATAAAAATTGTTTTTGATTTAAGAAAGAAAACAGTTTGATTTCATGTAGACAATGGCAAGATATGTTTGTGTATTGTGCTGGCGGAATTTCAAGACTCTTGCAAATGCTTATCTGGAAACAATACTATGAAACAGTCCTTTAATTACTATTTTAAAAAAATTTCTCCTGATATCTGTGTCTATTCAGAGCACCTCAATTTCTGCAAATTCAAGTACAGGTTTTAAATAATATATTTTAAGAATTGAAAGTTTTGAGTATTAACTTTTTTTTCAATTTAGTAATGCTAGTAAAAATAGCAAAATTCAACTGTTAAAAGTCTGAAACAAGTTGTTAATCTTGTTTCAGACTTTTGATCATCATCATTTGAAAAAAACTGCATTTCTGCTGTCGAATTTTTTTTTCTTAATATGTCCGATTACCAATAGTGGTGTTAAATGGATAAGCTTATTAATATAATTGCGAGTAGAATTTTGTTTCTCTTTTAGCGTTGAATTGTAGGAAACATTGTTTTTCATTTGTTGCAAAATTGAAAGCATTGTTGGAGGTCCATTTACTTTAAGTAATGGTTTAGTTTCTTGGTTTTCTTATTATTTATTTTTGTATTCGTTAATTCATTAGCATGTACATTATATACAATTTATTTTGAAGTAATTTATTGTTGCATGAAATTACTTATTATGAATTTTTTTAAAAACTTATTTCAATCTATTTTTATATTGAGAAACCGAATGCCAGAAAACTCTAGTTCCGAAATTTCTCGCTATCTGTACACTAACGCAAAATTAACCGTTAAACATTTAACAGATTTTTTAAATTCATTTCTGATCAACTTGTTCCTATCTCAGTTTGAAAATTTGAGTGATTGCCCATTTTTTTTTATATGTATGTACACAGTGAAACCTCAGTTAACCAGACACTCTTGGTACCTATTTATGGGAAGGGTACCTTAATAACTAAGTTAAACACCGTAAAGTGTTTTTAGAATAATTTCAATTACATAGAAATAATTAAATAATCTATTATAACTATCTACAGTGATATTTATTTAAGCTTTAAAAAATATTTATTTTCAACACAAAAAGAATATATGAAAAAGTTTGATATAAATAATATTTCTAGATGTAGCTACAGAGAAATGAATATGTTTTTCTTATTTACAGAGATATCCAAGTGAGTCATGTGGTCATTTAGTCCTCCTTTGATTTCAGTTATTAAGTTTACATCCCTAACACCTCTATATTACTTGATAGGAAACATGGTTAATACCTCCTGAAAGGTACAAGATGCACACACACTAAAAAACACATACCTGTAAGGTAGGAGGCCTGGACTATCAAGTGTCAAAATAGATATAAACTAGTTTGTATCTATTGAAGAGTTATAAACTAGATTTCTGTTTTTATTATGTTTAAGACCCAGCTGTGATAAATACAGTCTTCAAATTGACTAGAAGAAAGAAATTTTCAATAGGGAAGAGGTATTGAGAGCATTTAGGGTGTCATTTCAACTTATGAGGTCTCGTAACTTGTGTCTTCCAGGTGAAAAGATCAAAAGATGCTGCTGTCCAAAATATTTCACATGAGCAGTGGCATTCTCTCTCCTAAAGGAGACAGGAAAATGATTGATTCTTAAGTACTTAAATAGCTTAATAATGTTTTTAGTTGTGGATAAGGCGAAATGATGAAAAGTTGCATATTTTTTTCTTAGAATTTAAAGCAGAAATAGTTTTTTTTTTTTTTCAAATTTAGAAAAAGGAACAGGTAAAAAATAACCTTTTGGGGCAAAAATGACTGTCAAGTGTTTGTTTTGGTTTATTAACAGAAGATTCAAAGGAAACTAAAAGTATGTCCGTATTGAGAGGCGTCTGTTGTACAGGAGTGTCATTAACGTGAGGTATCACTGTATATATAATTTTTTAGGTTGTGGAAGTTGAAAAAAATAATGCTGCACAAAACGAAGTTACCGTAGCAATGATCTCATTTTTAAAAATAGTTTAGTATAAGTGTATCAAAAATATCTCGATTTTCTTTTGCAAAAGTTTGGTTATTTTTATTTTGAGCCACATTACATAATAGGAATATAGCCTAGTTTTAGCTACTTTTATTGCGTATTTCAAACTTAAAAACTGAAAGATCAAGTTTTTTTCAAAATAAAAAACTCTTTCCTAAAAAATATTTGTATATATATGAAAAAGTTGAAATTATAAGTGGTAATATACTGGGTAGCCACAGAACAAGAAGAAATCATCAAATTTTATTTATCTTGAGAAAATCAGAAAATTTAACTAAAATACTCAAAACATCAAGGAAAATTAATGAATTTATTTTTAAGGTACCTAAAAGTGCAAATTATTGTTAAAGAAAATTGGTTTAGAAATAAGTATTGAAAAAAAAAAAAAATTTCATTTTTAACTAAAATGGCATATTTAAGTATTTTTTTTTTTCTCAAGGTTTAAGAAAATGAATATTACAATTTATGCCACCAGTTTTTATGTTATGTTATTGCCCTCATTGAACAGTAGACCCAATTCTGAGCTTACGACTATCAATATTCAGCTCCGTAGCCTTGTAATTTTGAATCCAACCCAGAAGACAAGGGAACTCTTGAGGCATACTAGCCTTCGAGGAGAATTTTTTTTTAATGAAACTAACCTGCAATTGTGTTACATATGGAGAGGAAAACCACCCACTGGTAGCCCAATGGCACGGTAAATCGGGGACAGAATTTCTATCAACCTGGGATTCGAATTTGGGTCACCTTATTGGGATGCAATTGCTCTATCCCCTTCGCCATAGCAGCTCTGCCACCAGATACTAAATTCAGAAAAATTAATTATTAAAACATTCGGGAGAAAGTCAGAATTTGTTTTTCTTTGCTGAGTGTATTTTTCATCATAATTACCTAAAACAATAAATAGAATAATCTACTGCTTCTCAAATTAATCATTTTTTTTTTATCAAAGGATAATTTGTCAATTGTTTAGAAACAATATTTCAAGTGTGAATAAGCATAAATAAGAATACTTGACTCTTTGTTGTATCTCCTCAATTTATTTATTTAAAATAAAAAAAACTATCTACTTAAAGAAAATATATAAATTATAATCTAATAACTAGATCCTCTAATAAAAAATTAGCACTCATTAAATTTAAACACTCAAAAACGTTCAACACTCAAAACATAATTCAAAATAAATAAATATTCAACATAATTTCTAACTCATAAATATAAAGCACTCTTTTAAAACATTCAAATTAAACAAAACTTTTTTCACACATCTTAACATTACACACTTGCCTTTTGCAAAGCAAATTTTATCTACTTGTCCTTAAAAGAAAACCACAAAATTTCAGTAACTAGTAAAAATAATATTGTACGCATACAAATATATGAGCTTTTTACTCTACAAATCAATTAACTCTGCTTTTTCAAACATCTGAAATTTAAGTGGCAAACAAAGCCCTTAGTTTGGTCTTAGCTATATACGTGTAATTAATTACCCAAATAATAAATATCACCTCTAAATGACTAATTATTAATTTATATTGCAAGAGGATTTTAAAAGCTCAATATATTATTTCATCATATTTTTGTTTATAGAATTAATCAATTCGTGCAGTGAATGGCTCAGATGTTTTTTTGATGACACTAAAATATCAGTTGATTTCTTTGCTTCTTCATAGTTTAAAAATTTTTTGAACAAAAAGGAAATTTAACGACCTAATACAAACAAAAATTTTTGATAGTGCAAAAATATCAATCTTTAACATATCATTTAATCATTATCTCTATAATGTTTTATAAAAATATTACGTATATGCAAGCTTAAAAATCTTTTTCCAATCAAAATTTTTGAACAAAAAAGAAATTTAACGACTGACCCAATGCAAACCAAAATTTTTCACAATTTTTTGAACAAAAAGGAAATGTAACGATTGACCAAATACAAACAAAAAATTTTGATAGTGCAATAACATCAACCTATAATCATTATCTATAATGTTTTATTAAAAATTTTACATATATGCATAAGGTATATATTTTCGGTGAGCTATAATGCTCAATAGTTAAGGCACTGAGCTGTCATGAAAAACTGGGATTCTATTTCCAATGGCTGCTTGAAGTTCACCCAGCTTTATATCAATGGGTAAGTATTGTTTGGGAAGCAAAGGTGGCTGTGGACCACAGCCACCTTTCATCATGAACTTGTGTAACTTAAACCATTATGACTTCCTCGATCAGTTGTGTTTAACTTTTTGTTTTTCAATGTATAAAGTTGTCCGAAAGTAGAAAAATGCTTGTACAGTGAAACCTCTCGGGGGGTCTCTATTTACCTTTAAAATGTAATCGAAGGTACATGATTTTCGAATTTAACAATAGTCAGTGTCATTTTCTTGGTCCGGAAATGCTACTTGTGTTAACGTCATGAAAACCGGATCAATGAATTAAAATTTAAAGTCAATACAAATGATCCCTTCTGATATAATTATGTGTAAAAACAAATTTACCAATTAAGAATGATAGAACAATTTTAAAGAAATAAAAAATGATGTTTTTTTCAAGTCTTCATTTATTTTTATGTCATAAAAATTAGTTTAGCTGTAAAAGATGAGAAGATGTTTGTTTGAGATGCTCAGTTTTTTCTAAGATAACTATTTTTTCGTAGTTTAACTTTCAACTTAAAAAATAATCAACTCTAAAAATAATTGATAAATCATCGTCTTTAGTCCAATTTGAGAGCAACATGAGGTTGTCAATCTCTTTTAAAGATCGTCAAAAAGAGCTCTCTAAATAAGAGACTCACACAAATATTTACATTTTAATCTGCTTATTTGTTTTTTTTTTTTAAATATTTTTTTCGTCTTTCTTTCTTTGACCTTTTTCTCATTTGGCGCAGAGGTTTTGCCCGGTCCCTGGGAGAGGTTTTAATGATCTCCCCTAAAGGTTTTCTTTAATACGGAAATTCCGCTCCTCCCAAAAGTGGGGGTAAGTAGAGGTTGGTCCTTCCTGGAGGTTTCACTGTAATTGTTTTATTAGATATCCTAAACTATAATTTACTACTGAGTAGAAACAAAAAGAATAAATTATAAGTTGTGTAATACAAAACAATTACAGAAGAATTAATGATTATTATGTACACTCTCGATTATCCGTGCTCATTCCGGAGTCACACAGAAAATATAAAGAGAAACATTTGCAAGATTAAAAAAATTTGATTCATGAAGTTATAACACTACCAAATTTTTGGAAGCAATATTCGTTATTGGATTGCAGTATATGGAATATCAGCAGCATGGTCAAAGGTAAAATCGTCTACGTTATCTATCGCGATCTTGGAGAAAGATCATACCGCTTGATGAACAATCCTCTTCAGATGTTCAAGAAAAATATGATAACAGTATTCTCGAATAAGCAAAAAAAATCTAAGGCTTCGAAATTCTTGATGAAGAAAATTTAGAAGATAGGTTTCAAAGTGATGCATGTGAGCCTGGCTTCCAGTATTTGACTGATGAAGACAACGCTATGTTGTTAAATCAAATAGTGATGATAGTAACTGATGCAGAAGATGTAGTAAATGAATGGAATACTATTTTTCATTCTGCTGCTCTGTGGAAACTTTATTAGATTATACGGGAGGATTTGATTACGGTGACACTACTGCGGTTCGTAAAATATGTGTATCGATATATGGCGAAGACGCATTACACATTTTTTAAAAAGGAAAATTCCTAGTTTGATGTTATGCATGCAAATGTCAGTAATTTTTATATTTTTTGTACTGATATTGAATTTTTCTTTAATAAAAGGAGTTTTCGGATTATCCGTGTTTTTCGATTGTCCGTGCGACCTGTCCCGGTGATTAACCTGGATAATCGGGAGCATACTTATATTATTATTTTTACATCTACTTCACAAAATTCTGCATAAACCACATTAACTTCGCGGATGTTAACAATGAAAATTATAGTTAAGAATTTTCTGTTACTAAGCAAGAACTTTTTGCATTACCATTAGAGATAATCATTTCAAAAGCTCAGCAAACCAAAATTGATACATTTGTTTTGTTAAATATCTGCTCTTTAATTCGAGAAATTTTTTTATGTTTTTCTGTAAGTAATAAATATTTAAGAGCATATTTTTGTGCGTTTGAAGAGCCAGTAACTAAAAATTATTTTAAGATTGATCTGTTACAGACTTATACTACTTTCGCATTTAATACATAAGTTTAACGATACGATCTATAAAACACAAAGCCTCAAAATTCAAGGATTGCGTCATAAAGATCTACTGTTAATAATGACATAACACGATAAATCTGAATCTATTGATAACATATGAAGTAACATTTATATTATTATTATGGAAAGCAACTAAATTGTGGAAGAAATGCAGGGGAAATTATGAAGTAGTAAAAGAATGTATCACATCGATAAAAAAGTACTATATTGAATATATAACTTATTCCACGTAAAAAAAAAAGTAACATTTTGGCACACAATTTATTATACACATAAAAAATACAATTTATCACAATGTTTAATAAATATTAGAAATAACACTTTATCACAATGTTAAATATAAATCAATATTTTTTTTTAGACATACAAATATGACTTTATCATTGCCTTGCAATCATGATTTATATGATTCAAAATTTTTGTATTGTAATCAAATAGTTTTGGTTCAACAAATTTAGTGTCTGATTTTATTGTTTATTGAGTTAAAATTTAAACCTTTCAATTTTACTCAGTAACCATTATAATTCAGAGTTCACCCTAGGAATAAAAAAGGGAGCTTCCTCCTCACTTAACACCCTAAAAGTTTATCTAATTGCTTAATATTATGCAATAAGTGAATTTGATCCTCAACAATTTTTAAATCATTCTCTAATATGTACGTCTCTTACGTATATATTTCAAAAAGTAGTTCTCACTCGTTATCAAAACAAGAGAAAAATACATAGCTCATAAAAAACAATGACACGCTAAAAGACAACCTCAGAGCATATAATTTTTTTTTTTCAAAAAAAGTAAACTTAAAAATATGTTTAATTGATAAATCTAATCTTTTTTTTTTTTATCTAACATAATAATTTGAAAGCTTTATCTATAATATAAACAGAAAATTATGAAAAAATTGAACATTCAAAGGCACAGTTTTGTTAAAAAAAGGTATTTATTTAAAAAATAATTTTAGAATTTAAAATCACTTAAAATACATTAATATGCCCTTTGAAGAAAAATGTAATAGCAATCAGAATTAAACCTATTCACACAAATGATTTTATCAGTGTGTAATTATTATTTAAACGGTGAGTCATTAATTTTTTTAAAATTGGAATACGAATAAAAAGGCAATGTTAGGAAGAACACTGTAATTTCATCCACAAACTTTTTTAAATTTATACTCTTGTTTTATTTATTTTAAAAATTTGTTTAATATTTTTTAATAATAGATTGTAATACATGATTTTTTATTAATTTATTGATAATAGTGCAAAAAGTTTCATATCAATTTGTTTCTAAATTTAAAATATTTTTGTTAATAACATATATTGATTGAACATAGTTTTATGTAAATTTTAGTATAAAAGTAAATACAACTCATTAACAAATAAACAAAACTAATTAAACGTTTAATAATAGTAACACAGTAATTAAATATTTTTATCATAAAATGTTGCAAAATAAGGTCATATAATTTTAATCATTAATTATTAATTCGATTACTTTCCGTAATTTAATAATGTCATGGAACAAAACTTTTAAATCTTGAATAATAATAAAAAACTTAATAATAACTGAGTACAATATTAAGAGGTAAATAAACATTATTCTTTTAACTTTCATTAATTGTAAGCTGATGACTGGTAAAAATGTTTAGTTAACATATTTGCTTACCAAAAAATATAATAATTATAATATCAATTGATTTTGTCCAATGAGAATACATAAAATAGTAAGGCGACAATTTTATACAGTCATCTTTTTAGGATTTTTAGAAAAATAACAATATAAACTGAAGAATTAAAATAAAATTTCAATCTCTTTTATTAAATTAATAGTAAAATATAACTAGCACAATTAAAAATTAGTAATATTAATCCTATAACAATATAAGAAGAAATATCCCACTTATAGAGAAAAATGGGACAAATTATTATTATTGATAAAAATAGAACAATGCATTTTTCGGCTAGTTAACGAAAAGTGTGCAAAACTAGTCACTTAGTACCATATGCTAAGACATAATGACTGATTGCTAAATTGTGGACTTTATTTCCAACGAAATAAAAAATGAAATATTTGATAAAATAATAGAAAAGGACTTAAAAATTTGCATTATTGATGAGGTTTTCTGTCTCAAGCAAACCAGTTTTAGCAATTATTATTCAAGTGAAAGATCCAGAAATTCTAATGCAAACTTTAAACAGCGTAGGATTTGACAACGATAATTTAAAATGAAATCTAATTACATTTTGTTCTGATAGAGCCGATTAATGGTTGGGACATTGTTCTAATTCTGAGTTGTTTTCCGAATGTTAGAGTCTGGTATTGTTTAAATCATCGCCTTCATTTTGTTTTAGATTATTCAATCAAAGAAGTTAACCATTTTAAGTTCTTAATTGATAAAATTTATAAATTTTTTACCCAATCCAACAAAAATCAGATTGAACTTTTCAAGTCAATATCTCAGAGCAGACTGGAATTGAAATCATTAAGATTGGATGTGTTTTAAGGCAGCATGCTCTTTAACTTGCAACTGCAATTTGACTGCTTATCTATCTCTGCATTTGTTCTTCAAATCAAATGAAAAATTCGCAGTCATGCAAAAATATCTAGAAAATAAAAACTCCCTTAAAATATCTGGCCCTTCATGATTGATATTTTGACAGAAATTTCTATGTTCTAAAGCATTGCAAGAAAGAAACCTGGATTTAATTAAAGCAGAAAATGTGACTCGACGAACAATTAAAGTTTTTGAAATTCTGAAGACGAATGATGGAGCTTTTGAGAAAACATTAGAGGAAACTCATAGTTCTAAAAAATTTGAATGTCTTTATTTTAGTGACAACAAAAAATTAAGGTATTTGGCACAGGAAAGTTAGCATTTTATCTAGATTATCTAGATAAAAGGGGTTAATAATAAAAAATTGATTTCTATTGGATTTAATATCGCAAAAACTAATAAGGGTAAAGCATGTTCTGCCGTTTTTCTGCCAGTAAAAAAGGATCAAATCGAAGAGATGGATTTTGAGTTTTCAATCGTTGCATTGTATCTAAAACATTAAACTCATTGTTTTGAATATGTAAAGATTGCAACTCCAGAAACTTTACACTTTCTAATAAGCCGTTAACAGTTATTTTAGGACACATTTTCAAGTGTAATTCTCTGAGTCCTTTGATATTGGAGAGAGACACTTTTGGTTCTTGTGAACTTATCAGACCGCTATCTGTAACATTCTTACAGCCGCTGAGGGCCAAAAATCTCAACATATGCAGTTTTACACAAATAATATGAACTGTTTCGTCAGAAATGCACAAGCAGGAGCTTAAATTCAGAGACCAGAGCTTAGGAGTTAGTCTCAATACATTTCTAACACATTCATCATCTGGTTTAGTTGATGAAAGATCTAATGATCTTAGATTATGGAGCTGAAACACTTTTAGAGCATTGTTGAAGCTTTCCAGTCTAATGTTTGAACAAGACTCAAGACCCAAAGTTTGCAAACACTTCAATTGGAAAATGTCAACAATGCTAGAATCTAACAATAGATTATTTTGCATCGTAAAAGCTTCGAGGGATGGTAAAATGGAGCAGATTAGCTTTATGGCGGCATCACTGATCTGTAAACAAGTTAAATGTAGCTCTGTTAATGAAGTTTGGTATTGGCATATTTGGGGGATAATATTAACACACTCAAACAACTTATTCAAAAACAAACGTCTCAGTTTAAAATGTTCACTTTTAAATAAACTCAGGGCATAATTAGGTTGCATATCTTTGTTCCTTATAGAAAGGTGAATCAATGTTTTGGATCGGGTGTGAACAAAATCACGAATGGCAGGAAGGGTCAGAATTAAGTCAGATGGTCTTTCAGTCCATTTCTTTTGTCTCGGATAAAATCTTTTGATAACAACATTCGCAGAAGCTGCAGGATGGTGGAGCACAAATCTTTCCAGATGGGGCATTGTTTTTTGAAATACATAAAGAACTCTATCAGTGATAGAAAAAGTTTCTTCGCTACTGACAGATAGTTCTTTCAGGCACGGAAGATGATAGAAAATGTCTAAAAAGCAATCCTCAAACTCTAGAGACTCTAGATTAGGACAAATATTTAAATTCTTACACCCTGACTCAGCTTTCAATTCAATGCTGCAATTTTTAAATGCTATGAACTTTATATATTGCCCATGTTTCAAGAAAAAATTAACGCATTCAAACGTAATGTCAAGATCATCAAAAATAAAGTGGCTAAAATTGCGTGTGAAAGTTGAATGAATGATGCATGTTGTATTATATTTGACAAAGACAAGTAAATTTCTTAGAAGTTTAGGTTGATCAATTATATTCAACCATTGCTTACAGACCAAAGAAACATTCAGTTTGTCATTGGCAGAGAGATAGAGGAAAATTTTTTCAATCACCTGTAATAAGAGTATTACTGTTAAAAGGTAATCATAAAACAAACAGACATGAAAAAAAAAAATAATAATAATAAAAACAGAATAAACTGAAGCCTAATATAATAAAATCTAAGAAATAAAAAGGTTGCCTTTTTGTTTTAAAAGAAACTTGAATTTTCTTTTTGAAGAAACCTGATTGTCCTTGATGGCAACTTTAAAACAGCCTGATATTTTCAAGTATCTGTCCAAACTTTTTGAGAGTACCAGAAATGTGTCCAGAATAAAAAGGTTGCCTTTTTGTTTTAAAAGAAACTTGAATTTTCTTTTTGAAGAAACCTTATTGTCCTTAATGGCAACTTTAAAACAGCCTGATATTTTTAAGTATCTGTCCAGACTTTTTGAAAGAACCCGTCCCGTGTTAATAAATTAGTGAAGAATCTATTCATAATTTTGTGAATCGAAAATTAGTGTATAATCATATTATGTAAGCAAGAGTTAAGAAAGTATGAAAATAAGGTTCCGGTTTTGTGAAATTTTGCATCTTTGATAATAAAATGAAGAGTTTGTCTATCTGTGTGTATCTTGCTCTCTCTCTCTCTCTTCAGAACTGTTCGCACTATCATCCAGAACAGCCGCTGCAAGAGGGAAATTAACATTAAGGAGTCTAACCTTTCGACCGCTCTCCTGGCGAAACTATAGGGACATTATTTCCCAAATTGTTCCCCCTATAATTTGGGGGTCAGAAATCCGATTCCGTCGAAAAAATATATAAATTTATTAAGAGAATGTACTTTTTGTGTGCACTAATTAATTAGCATATTTGAGGTCACCCCCTCCAACCAGGAAGACCGAGTGCTAGAAGGTGAAGATCCGATCATTAGATCGAAAGTTATTCAGGGTGGTAAGTTTTTATTTTGTGCACTGGACAAGTAAAATGAAGTTAATTACTATAATATTGATTCAATAATGTCGTTCGTCTACATTGAAACTTATCAAGTCACAATCCAGATATTTATGATATTTTATATTATGGCAAAACAAAGAACTCATCTCATAAATATAACGAATTCACTGAATTGACCGATTCACAAACAAAAATCTGCAAAAACAAGGAATGATAAACTAAGTCACAAAAACTTGGTATTAAAAAAAGAAATCAGTGAACTAAAGGAAGCTTAGTAACTTACCTAAATCTAAAAAGAAAACATCTCATAAATAACATCCCAGCTTGATACTCTTTCAAATACCAACATAGCTGAGCATTTAATTACAGCGCACCGATTTTCCAGTTGCAATAAAGAAAAACCAAAATCTCAATATTGCTCAAGTAAAATCCTTAACAGACCGGGATAGCCTGGTTAGCAGGGCGCTGGACTAACGTTTGTGAGAACGGGAGTTCGAATCCAGATGGCCGAAAACTCCTCGTGTAGTAAATGGTGACAGGTGCATGGTAAATCTATCGAGTCACAAAGTCCTCCATGTTTCCATAACAAATTATGCATCTGGGGATACTGAATTAGAGATTGATCGTTCTCTGGTTCAGGTCAAAATTACAATATGTGGATAAATGAACAGATGTGTGAATGGGTCAGCACTATAAATGGGTGCGACGAACGGGTATGGCAGAAGTCGAATACTTGGCTGCAGATGGCGTCACTGGAAAACAAGAACAATCGAGCCACTTGCCTTAATAGCCTACGACAATAACAAAAAAATCCATAACAATACGAGATGATTTATTGAAAAAAATTATAAAAATTATATACTAAAATCGTAAGCTAACAGCATATGAAGTTAATCCATGTTTCATTGTGGCATCCACTTCATTAAATGAGTTTATAAAATTAATGAAGTTAATTCAAAAAACTCCCAAACTTAAAACTATATTTTATCACACATGGGTTACTAAAGTTGAAAAAGAGATTTAAGTTCAGTTGGATTCAAAACGGGAAAATATTAATTCGAAAAGATGAATCGTCCATGTAAAAACAACAGATCTGAATAATATTCCATTGAATCAATAAAATATCTCAATCTGTTCTAAACAATTGAAAATAATGATAAATTAAATCACTCTCTAACGTCTACCTGTAAGTTCATAATTAATATTTTGCCTACGAATATAAGTTTACGTTCTAACTTTGAACTTAGACGATTCTATTTCTTAATTCACTTGATAATATAGTTTTAATAATTCGAGTTGCAATAAAGAAAAACCAAAATCTCAATGACGAAATAAATAATTATGCAAAATAAGTTTACGCTCTAACCTTGATAATTCTATTTCTTAATTCACTTGATAATACAGCTTTAATAATTCTGATTGAAACTTGATTTGCAATAACGAAAAAAGTTTTTCTTCAATCAATAATTATGATTTTTTTTCTTCTAGAAATTATAATCATTCTGCTGGTATTGCTGTCTGTACTAAAAAATGCCTAAGCATCACTGAATTAAATATACACTATATTTCAGCTAAATCTATATTGCTGCATTGTAAAGAATTAAATTTATTGTATCTCTCCATCGATCACGTGATTTTACTATTATAGAATAGCCACTAAAATCAGGTTTCAAATTTCGCAAATTTTTGGGGGTAAAAATCTTAAAACTTCCGGATTAGCGGGTTTTTTTCTCATAAAGTGTCAATATTATAAACTATTTTGTTCAAAATTTTATTTTTTTAATATATCATCTTGAAAAGCCAGACTAAATTTATTTTAACAACTTAGCAAGATTTTTTTTTTTAAATATTTAATGTTTTGGTACAACATTAATTTAAAAAAAAATTAAGATAGATGATTAGAAAATAATATGTTTAACTTGTAGGAAAAATTGTTTTTATTGAATAAAAAATGTTTTAAGGTGTTACTTTAAGTAGCTTTTGCTCGAAGTGTACAGAATTGCATCAATACAGAAGATCCAAAAAACCTTGGATAAGTACTGTTTAAAGTATTTTTATTACGCAAAATAAATAATTCAGGTCGATAATACATAAATAAATTTTTATATTTATTTACATTTCAATATAGAGCCATTTTATACTGTATTTCATCCAAACAATGCTCGTTAAAAATTCATTAATCATATTTTCTTTAAACCAATATCTAAAATCGAATGTTTAAATAATGTTGTTTGTTTTGAATCAGCAATATTCAGTATTCAAAAATGAATGTCGCAAATGCAAAATTGTCAAATTTCTTGTAGCATATTCCATAGATAAAATTCTTTACATAATTTTTTTTCCCCTCACTTAAGATTAAAATATTTAAAGAATCTAATCACACGACTTCTTAGTTTGGATGATTTATTTTTTTTTAAATTAAATAAAATGCTTAGAAAAAAATTTTGTTATAAGATATAAGTTTATAATCATAAAATATTCAGTTTATAATCATAATCTATGAAAAAAAGCAATTTGTTTCATAAAAACTTATTATAATAAAATGAAATTAAATGGATTGATTGTCAGATGTGTGTGTGTGTGTGTGTGACCAATCCCCTCACTGTCCAGCGGCAGCTAGACATTATCAATGATTCCATACACTCTCAAGAAATCCAGGGCAAGCAAAGGGTCCGTCGTAAAAGTCTCCTTAGAAATGTTTGTCTGATGTAAATCACATGAAAGCAAAAAGGATTATTCATTTACAAATTGTCTAAACTCTGTGAATTTATAAGTAATTTAAATGTAACCTTGACTGAATTTAGAAGCTGACATTTGTAATAAGAAATGCTATGCAGTTTTTAACTTGATGACATACAATAAATTTGAAGTTTTTTACTTTGGTGTCGGACAAAAATTTTTTAAGTTGGATATGAATATGAAGTAATGATAACCATTATAATAACTGAAAATTACTTTAATTTTAATAAACATCATTGTTTGAATAAGAAAAGTTCCCTTAAATTCAAATTGTTTTCTATTTTCTGTTGGAATAGATGGATCAATAAATTTTATAACATTTGCCTACTTGTAAAAGTTAGTTGAAAAATCACTCATTTTAATTTAAACTGTGCAACGTACATTAACAACAATATACATTGAACTCATCTTTAAACAATATTGCCATGAATTCAATAGTTTTAAAAATTCTGTGAAGAAAACTTTTTCGCTAATTTTTTTAAATAACCTGGGATAAATAGAAAAAAAATGCTAAGTTTCATTACTTTTATATACAATAAAACAAAATCTATTGAAAATAAGTTACTGTACAGTACAGGAAAAAAAGGACCACCCTGAATAACTTTTGATCTAATGATTGGATTGTTCGCGTTCTACAATTCAATCTTAAAGTCTTGAGGGGGTCACTTCAAGTATGCTAATTAATAAGCTCCGATGATATTTTAAGTTACAAAATCTGACACAAAAGCATACTTACTCTGAATAAACACATTTTTTTCTCGTCAGATTCAGATTTCTGATCCTCAAAATATAGGGTATCCGCAATCTGGGAAATATGATCCCAATAGTTTGATCAGGAGAGAGCTCCAAAGTTTGGACCATTTATGTTAATTATACTTTTTGCGTATTTCTCTATATCTCGAGAACTTTTTGGGCTAATTGAAAAACTTTTACAAACAATTATAAAATTTGTTAATCCATGGAAAAAATAACTTTTAGTAAATATATATTATTTTTAATTATTTTATTTAAGGATGGTCAAAAATATTTTGAATCGTAAGGTATAAAATTTTTTGAATCATTTTAAAGAATGTAATTTTAAAATATAAGTTTGAGTGAAATCGGTTGAATAGTTCTCGAGGGAATGAATTTAAAAAAAATCAGATACAGTGCACTCCCGATTATCCGGGTTAATCACCGGACAGGGAGCACGGAGAATCGAAAAACATGGATAATCCGAAAACTCTTTTAATTAGAGAAAAAATCATTAGTACAAAAAATATAAAAATTACTGACATTTGCATGCTGTATAACATCAAACTAGGAATTTTCCTTTTATAAAATTGTGTAATGCGTCTTCGTCATATGTTTTACGAACCACAGTAATGTCAACGTAAGCAAATCCTCCCATATAATCTAATAAAATTTCCACAGAGCAGCAGAAATAGAAATTGTATTTCCCTCATTTACTACATCTTCTGCATCAGTTACTATCATCACTATTTGATTTAACAACATAACGATGTCTTCATCTGTCAAATACTGGAAGTCAGGCTCACATGCATCACTTTGAAACCAATCTTCAAAATTTTCTTCGTCAAGAATTTCGAAACCTCAGATTTCTTTTGCTTGTTCGAGAATACTGTTATCATATTTTTCTTGAACATCTGAAGAAGATTGCTCATCAAGCGATATTATCTTTCTCCAAGATCGTGATAAAGTAGACGATTTTACCTTTGACCATGCTGCTGATATTCGATATACTTCAATCCAATAACGGATATTGCTTTCAAAAATTTGGTACTGTTATAACTTCATGAATAAAATTTTTTTTAATCTTTAAAATGTTTCTCTTTATATTTTCCGTGTGACTCCGGAATGAGCACGGATAATTCGCAAACCGGATAATGCGCGCACGGATAATCGAGAGTGTACTGTACTTAAAATTTGATTCTACTTCGGTATTTCTTAATCACCTGGACATGATATATCCTCTTGGTGATGAATATATGTTTTTCTAATAATTTTTTAACTTATCTTTTTTATGTTCTTTTTTTTTAAAGTTAATTTGTTTGCTAAGAAAATGAAGATATTATAAAAAGTTCATTTTTCAGATGAAATAATTTGAAAAGACCCAATATAACAGATCAATAATTAAAGGACTCAAGTTTCTCCTAAACAAACCCCTGATCATACACTTGAAATAGTATTGCGTACACTAATTTTGAATTGCAATCTGCAGTGAAACGAATAAGTCAAGAATTTGCAATAAAAGATAATGCCTTAAAAATGGGGGTAGGTGCTTGGCTTTGGTAGGATGTTGCTTAAAGAAGAATGAAACTTTCCAAGAAGAGATCTTGTAAATAATAATTCTTGCACTAAATTTCGGCGACGATTGGGCAGTGGCACGCAAAAAATAAAATAAAAACAGAAGGGGGTGCAACTCGAATTTTATAACTCGTAGCCACCACCAGACAAATCATTACTTATTCTTTTTACTTTAAATCGTTTTAGCCCCTAAGCGATGGTATCTGCATGAATGAAAATACCCACTGTACACGCATTACAGTAATGTTATTTCAATTTTTGGCTCCAGTGCAGAATCGGGGCCCCCTTGGCGAGAAATTTCAATTTTTGCCAGTCATCCGAAGAAATCTACGACTCGTATTTTGAAAAATTTAATAGGAAACACTGGTATTGCATAAGGTCATGGAAGCTGATCTAGGACTTTATGCAATGTATACAAGCCGCACTCTTCTGAAGTTGAAGAAAATAAATTTTAATGAAGTTCACAGAGGGGAGATTTCCACATCATGATCTGTGGCAGAATAATCGCCAAGTCTTTGCAACTTCCGGGCAGTGGTTTATGAGAAACTAAAAAAAAGCATCACAGAATGGGATCAGCCCGAAAGGTATAACTCGTAGCCACCCCAAACCAGCAAACATCTTCAGGTTTTTTTTCTTTAAATTGCAAGTTTAAAATCTATTCGGCACCTTGTAGTTGCAGCTACAGATCACGATACGAAAATATCCCCCAGTATTGCATAAGCTCACTGAAGCTGATTCACTCTAGGACTTTATGCCTATACAAGTTTCACTCCTCTGATGATGAAGAAAAGAAATTTTAATGAAATTCACAGATAAGAGCAATTTTCATTGTTTTGTAAAGCTTCGTGCTTGTATTTATGTTAATACAGTTTTCCTAATAATTTTAAGAAGATTATAAATTAACATCCATATTAAATGTTTCCAATATTCCTTGTTAACATAAAATGCTTTAATGTGTTCCCCGTAAATCACCAAAAATAAGAGGTACTGCCTATTGTAAACTATTACCCAATTTTCTACAATACTTATTGAACACTACTACAGATAATTAAACATTACCTCCACAGGTAAAACTGATATATTTCCATAAGTATTCATACTCATCAATAATCAAAAATAAATATTTAATTAAACTAATAAAAATTGCGACTTAAATTTTAATTCTTTAGTATATCTTAAAACTCTAATTTCTTAAGACTTATCACTTTAAAAAATTATTTAAATACACAAAATTGAAAAATAAACAAATCGCATTTATTAGTTCATTTCGGTTTGCCTAGTTTTGCTCGATTTACGAAACGTATAGAACACATGAACACATTCACTAATAAAATTTTGTAGTTTGTAGCTTAGAGGGGGTTTACACTGGAATTTGAAAAGAGAGCGACGAGCATTACTACAAATTTTTAGAATTGTTTGTCACAAAACTAAACAGTTAAAAGCGATTATAGGCGCCATGACTGAATAATTCGAATAAGATGAATGTCTTTCTTTGGCTCGTGAATTCAAAAAATCTGTAAATTTATGTAAGATAATGTGTACTGTACAAAGTGCTTTTTTCAATACTTCTATTGGTGTGCTGTTTATCTCTTGTTGCAAAAGAGGTGTGCATTCCATTGACGTAAAGAATTGCATTAACAAGCAACGAAACCTTGAAGAATTGTATGTATCCATTTCTTTTGTTTTTGAAATTGTTGTTTTTATCGTATGTTTATTGATAAATGTCTTAAACTTCCCTTTAAGATAATGTTTTTAGATGACGTAACATATCCATTTAGATTTTATTGTTTGAGAATAAATATCACTAAAAATATACTTGAGGGTGCCCCTTGGCGAAATTGGCGTCTTATGTTTGGTGCCATTCCTGTTTGCGCGTGGTAACAGGAATGACTGCCAAAATATAATGATATTTTAATAGAACATTGGAAAATTTCAACAAAACATCAGCCCGATATGAGCAAAATTAATAGACTCAATAAAATGCCTTTTGAATCGAAACAAAAATTAATGGATTAAGCACAGAAAGAAAATGAAAAAAAAAACTCACTTCATTCATCTTGAATATCCTCAGATTTAGCTGCACCGAATTCTCTAATAGCTGTTAGATACTGTCTAAATTTATCTGTGTACTGTGTATAGAATCTGTGTACCTCCATCGCCACATAAATTCGGCGAAAAAAGAATAAAAAATGACGTCCATGGTACTAAGTCCATGGCCCGACTTAGCCTATTTGGGACCCAGGGCAAGAACTACTTCAGTCTCCAGCTTCACTATTTCAGTAATGAAGAACTGAACTTTATGGAGGTATTTAAATTTTTCACCTCATTATATGACAAGAAAATTGACTGGAACCTAAAATAGCTACAAATATCCCCCTCTCTACGATGGTCAGACGAAATATCATTCTGTCCATTTTATTGATTTTTTTGACATTTTTAAGTACATCATGCCGAATGCAATTTTTTTGATTGTTAACTTTGTAATATAGCTGCGGAAAATTCTTATCCTTGCTGACATTTGGGAAAAATTCAGCTTAATTTTTGCAATTACGATGGCTCAGTCAGGCCTGTATTTTTGTAAACATATCATATTTCACGATATGTAGTAAGAAGACTTTTGATTGGCCAAATTTGTCCATCTTAATTGTTATACTTTAAATGAATTCATACTAAAAAGCCATATAATATGAAATATGGATTTTTTGTGTTCATGCGATAGATTAATGAATAAGCTAACATAAAACTCACGTATTTTACATTGTACTGATATTTTGTTTAAAAAAAGTTCATGAAAGAATGAAACCTAAAATAAACATTCTATTTGATGTGGGGATCTAGGGCAACTGCCACAGCCTTAGTCAGGGTCTGCTAAAGTCTTTTTATGACTGCCCAAATACCTTCGATCTTATTGACCAGAGGCAAAAGTAATCTTACCAGGCGGTATCCGATGAAGAGCTAACGGATCTCTGAAATTACATATACCCTTGAACTTGAATACCTTTGAAAAATAGCGCTAAAATCTAAACCAATCAGAATCACGATTGAGTTTCAACATCATCCAGCTTGGCGGTCAACCATGATCACAACTTACCGAGAATCAAGGGGCACCCTTAAATGTAGTCTACCCCTTTATTTCTCAACATCAAGGTCCATCAATTTTTTTTTGTCTCAATTGTGTCCACTTAGCAGCTTTTTGAAGCTGGGTATATGCTTTAACTGAGAGGATTGGCCGGTTGTACTAGATATCAAATTCCAGCACTGATATTACAATATTTCTTTTCTTCTTTCAACACATGAGGAATAACCTCTTCCCCAACAATTATAAATGATTAAAATTTTAGTTACGATTTGACTTATATTAAAATTTTAATTTAACAGTTTATAGGCCTAATACAACTATTGCCTTTGTCTTAAGAGTTATGTATTAACTTACAAAAAAATCAATGTGAAATTGTTTATGGTACATAACCTTTTTGAGTGAAGGGCCACTTGCACATCAGGTTGGCTAACGAAGGGCCGCACATGTATTTAGACGTGTTAATGACAAATGTAGTAATGTTTATTTAAATATTGGCGTTCCACTTTTTTTATCAATAAACTTAGTAATATCAATAACTTAGTAGTGTTCCATTATTAGAATTCATTTAAAAATTAAAAAAACTTATACTTTTTACTTCTTTACAGAAAAAAACTTGCTATTTTTATTATACGAACAATAGATTTATCAAAATAAATAAACATTGAAGAAAAGAAATGATTTTTTTTGATTATATCATGCAATACGAAAAATAAAAAATAAATAAATAAAAAAAAACTGCAATGCCCACAGAATGAAAGTAGGAAAAAGTTTAGTCATATTTAAGTATTATAAATTCAAATTAAATATTTTAATTGAAGAAAATTTATAGGTTTTAAACAAAAGCCTAAAATAAAAGCAAAACTGTGATAGTTCAAAATAAAATTCAATGCTTATTTTGTAATGTACTTTATTATTTTATTTTATTAATTATTAGATTTTTTATATCGTAAACATTTTCCTTTTTTTTATCGAAAAAGATCACTTAAGCAACAAAAAATTGAAATCTAAACTACAAACAGTGAGCAGTTTAAAAATTCACGTTTTCCGCCATTTTATGAATTTCTCTAGTTGAAATAACATTGCATTTAAATTAGGGAGGGATGTAGTAGCGAGTATTTGGCCATTCTGTGAAAAATTCAGTTGGTTGAATGATCAGTCAAATATTCGGCAAAATATTTTTTAGAAATGTATTTTTCTAAGTTTTTATTTTATTTTTGAATTTTTATAAATATTACTTTTTTTAAAAAAAAGTTATAATCAGACAATTTTGTCATTTTTTCGATACTTTGAGAATTGAGAAGGAATTTTTTCCATTTTTTGCTGCTTTTATTATAACCCAACATTTTAGCAGAACGTCTCATAGTATTAATTTATTATCACTCTTTTCCTGTACTGTAATATAAATAACCAGTGACATAGAAAAGTATGATTTTCAGTATTAAAGGTTTGTTTCAGGAACTAAGAAAAATTTGTTTTTTCTTTTTTTGGGCATTTTTATTATGACTCAGCATTTTTTTTAAGAGTAAAGTTACTAATAAAGTTTATTTTATAGCAATTTTTTTTCTTCTAAAATTATGGCAATGAGAAAAATTTAAATTGAGATTTTCGGCATAAGATTTTCATTTTAAAAATTAAGAACGTTTTTTCTATCTTTTTATTTTCTTGAAATAAAAAAACAACTTTTTTTAGACGTTGTCACTATAACGCAGTAGTTTTTAATAGCACTTCTAATGACTTAATTCTTTTTTCTTGGCTTTTTCTGGTAATTGAAAAACTGAGATGTTCAGCTTTAAAAACATTTTTTAAAAATTAAGATTGATTTTTATGTTCTCTGTTTCGTTTTTCGACATTTTCAAAAAGGTTCTTGATTGACAAAGACGTTCTTTTTAGAGTTAATTTATGAATACGTTTTTCCAGGAAATATTATTCTGAGCATTAAAATTTTAGTTTCAGTGTTTAGTAGCAGTAAAAGATTTTGCTATTTGGCCCCAATTGTACTGCGTTCAGTCGATTTTTTCTTTTTTTTTGCCAAATATTTGGTTTTTGACCAAATCACCAAATCAGTCGACCAAATCATATTCGTTGCGGAAATAAAAACGAAGGAAAGATAACTAGGATTTACGATAAAACTGTACCGAAATACCGTATCAAAAAGTGATTATTTAATTGCGCGATTAACGATCACGTGCCGTAATAAAATCATAGTTAAATAACGGGATAGTCAGAATCATGTGGAAAAGTATTGAAATAATTGGGGGGAAATATATTTATGCTGAACTCAGCACGAATAAAGCGTGTCAAATGCATGATTTGAAATTTGCATGTCGTAATAGAATAATTGGAATTTTTGTATAATACGTGGGAACGCATAGCAATAGCTGCCGAAAAAAATTGTTGAAAAAAAAGAAAGAATTGCAAAAAAATAATAATAAAATATCACTTAGATTTAAGATGAAATCCTCACAAATAAAGTGCAAGAGACTAGATCTGAAACTCTCGTCGAAATGGAAATTCGGGATTTTCGAAATCACGTAGAAAAGCGGAAATAACTTTAAAAAAAATCATTTATATTTACTATAAAATCAGCTTAAAGAAAGCGCGTTAAGCCAGGGTTGCAAAAAACCCAACCTGGCTGGGTTTTATTGGACTTTTCTGGGTTTTTCATGTTTTTATGGGAGGGTTTTCAAATGAGAGGGCAGGGATAAGTACCTTATTGTAATATTAATAATTAAGTTTAATTTATAAATTGACTTCATATCAGGGTTGGCAGGTTTTTGACATGTGACAGTTTTTGACAGTTTAAACCATGGTTTAAACCGTCACGTCAAAAACCTCACTGTCGAAAATGTCAAAAACCTATATTCATATGTGAAATTTAATTAATACATAAAATTTATATATTTTTTAAAGGATAGTGTTTCTAAATATGTTCTAGAAAAAATAAATTTAAAATTTTGAAGAAACACTTATATTTTGAATAGTAACCAAAATCTTGTACTTTTGAAAACTCACATCTTTTGTAATATTATGTATTCATTTTCATGTGTTATTGAAAATCTGCAGTGATATTATTAAGAAATTTATTTATAACCAAATTTAGTGTATAGTATAGATTATACTAAAAATTAGACATTTTTAAAGATAAACATTAGCAGTTTTGTACATTAGACATCTTTTAAAGAAAAATCTTTT